GTTTCCGCCAATCTGCAAAGAAATTTATCGAATGACAGTCGTTGAAATGTACGCGAAGCTTACTCGGCATGCCAAAAATCACTGCATGAACCATGTATTTAAGCGTCCTGTCACACAAGCAATAAGTAAATGCTCGAGAACAATATCGAACAATAATTTTCATATAAATTCATCCAACAAGAGCAAAATAAGCACCGAAATCGCGTCTACTGCGTTTGCTGGACGACTAGCTCCAACTCGAATCAACGAAGCCGCGCAAATGCCGTCAAGGTTAAGCCAAAGGCGCCACTTCAAATAGGGGATATGCTTTATCAACGCCCCATCAGTCAAATACAAATGTGCACTTCCATGATCATTATCACAAATATTCAATTTACCGTCGTCTATCTGGTCGACTTCATCGTTTGCAAACTCTTCATTAACAGCAGCAGACAATTTGGGTTCCTCCTCACATATCCTTAAAGGTTTTATACCTTCACTGTGACTAGTAATACTTTGAAAACTTGTGGAGTCAGAACTGGAATCTGAAACTGTAACTCTCTTTTCCTGCACAAACTGCAATGTCGTCTGTGACACTCTTCTCAAAAATGGCTTACCAGTTTCAACTACAGGCTTCTTCACTGCAAAACTATCGTCACAAAATTCCAGGTCAGACCTTAATTTCACATTTAGCTTACCGCTAAACTTTCTCACTGATTCACAGTTCACCTTTGTGCGCACTTCTTGCAAACGTGTAAAACACAACCGTGTTTGTCTTGCATCTTATAATAATAATTTTATTTTCATATAAACATAAATTTACATGAAAATGCATGCCATTTTTACAGGCACGATCAAGTATGGTATAATATCCAATCTTAAATTGTCTACAAGTTAATAATGTTTCAACTGTTAAATATTTGATGCATATATACATATAATTACACTCATTGTCTGAAGCAGACCGTATAGTTATTGAATTGTACAGTTGTCCTCCAGGTTGAGCGGGAAAATCGACTTCGTTTCGTTTTCATCCCGTGGTTGTAGGCATACGATAACCAACCAATATTGAAGTAAGTACAACGTTTACAAGGGATTGGAAGCTGTTTTTTAGAAAAGTTAAAGTGCTAAGGTGAATCATTAAAGTGTAATAGATTAAGTGAGTGAAATATATCATTAATAAACACATTTATGTAGAAAACAGAAAGGGGAAGTAATTAATCCTTACGCCGACAACGTTCATTTGCAATGTATAATAAAACCAATATATTTTGTACTATCATGATGTCCACTTTCGGCTTTAATACAATTATTTTCAAGCCAGCTGTTTTTATTTCATGCTTTTTTGTCTATTTGATGCACAACCGTACCCTCCAGAGAATAGGAATAGAATAAGTCGAATCAAATTCATAAAGAGCTATAAAATGTTAGGTTTAATGGAATATAATGAGGATCAAGTAAAGACGTTATTAGAAAATAAATGAGATAAGACATTGTGAAGTGGTATTTAATGATCTGACAATGGATAGCAAGTTAATTTATAAGATGCCTCATAAATCTGTTCAGATCCCGCGTGGTCGCATCTCAACAATAGGCTGAGTGAATGGTATATATTTAAAGGTAGAAGCATGATCTGTCAAGGCGTTCATTACTGTCTTTTTCAAGATAAAGATCTAAGCCCTCAGAAAAATCAGAAATATCTCGAGCCTTCAAATTGCATATTGCTGTTCCTGCAGAATGGGGTGATTCACCTAAGTGACCACCACCATATCTACTGATCAGCTAGCGCCACCCTCCCTCTTGTAACTTATCTGTTGGGGATGTACTACGAAACCCGTTACACTCACTAGGTCTATATGCATTACTAGACATCATGGAGCCTTCTCGATATCCACCTCTCGGAGGCCTATTCGTCATCAATGATTGCGTTTTTCCCTCAGACTGCTCTATTCTAGGGGAGAGATGTAATAGACTGGCGAACTTGCTCATAGATAGATTGACTTTATCTTTTACTAGTTTCAGGATATCATCAAACTTTGGCTCGATATCCTCATCCTCCATACGGGAGCTTATCTTCACCCACTTCCTTTGCAGTCGAGTAGGTAGGCATCTCGCTATTACTCCTAGGATAAAACTCGAGTCGAGGTCACTCATGCAATTCATCGAAATCAATGTATTCTTGTAAGTCATCATATTATCCAAAATCTCGTAATTGACTAACATTACCCTTAACAGCCTCGAATACGTTCCTTAAAATCATCGAAGGTCTTCCGAATCTTTGACGCAGTATACTCATAGCCTCAGAGTATCCTTTGTTTGACTTCATAAGCTTACAGCACTGTATGGCTCTTGCAGCAATTCCAGTGCAGTACCTTATCAAATACCTCAACTTCATTTCGTCATTTAAATATAACTACGCAACATGATTTCAAACTCTGTATTAATCTGTAAATAGTTAGCTGGGTTTCCGTCGAATTACCGAGGTTCAAATTTATGCCTATTATCCCTAGGCGGCGAACCATTAACAACAGTCTCATCATGCTGAGCGTCATAGATATCATTACAATTAACAAGCGACCCAGCGTTACTTACTTTCCTGCTTGCTTCCAAGGCGCTCTATCCCTTCTTCGACCCAGGTATCACTGAACTTGACCGAACTTCCAGAAAAGTTCCAGATAACACTTGTCCAAAGAAGACTGGCAAGCACCAGGAAAGACGAACGGAAACTATCCCAAAACTATCAGAAACTGTCAGCTAAGTTTCATAAACTATCAATGTTCAGCTGTTGCTACGCTGGATCTCACGCTGTCCCTCAAAGGCCTTCAGATACGCTTTGTATTGACCAACGCGAAAACCAGAACACTGATTGGCAACTCAAGAACCTTTATTCTTACGCCAACATATAACCACCGATAATGTTATTACACAAAGACTTCTGATAGTTTTTAATCATCCTTCTGAACAGCGGACTATAGGACGATGAATTTCGGATTGATGACGCGCGAAAATTATGGGGAAGTTGGGTTTAAGCAAACAACCACGAATTGATCGTTCAATCTTTAACTACACTGACAGAAGCCACTTAACAATCCAACACTCAGCAAGTTTCTTTAACGAAATATCCCAAGGTACTAATTCGTAAACAGATGTTTAATCCAGGAAAGTACAGCGAACAATTCTAAACCCTTGTTTAAACTAGAGACAATGTTATGAGGCAAGACTGCAGTTGCGTCTAAATCACTTGTACTCTGTTTGTAGGCGAATTGTTTGGGATTGTTAAAGGCCTTAAGCGAAGGTTTAAGATTAAGTAGGAGTAACCTTTTCACATTTTTTAGAAAAAAATATGTAGTAGCAATAGGTCTAAATTTAAAACATGTTCCAAAAGATAACTTAGGTGTGGAAAGGTACAATTCCAATGTCCTTTCAAACGGCTGGCACGGCATTTCTAGGAAAAGATTCGTCAAATATGTCAATGAGAGAACAACGTAGGATGTCCGCAAATTTTTGAGAATAACGCCAGAAAATACATCTGGTCCCAGGCTAAAAGAAGGGTTCAGTTACTGGAGACATTTTAGACCGTCATTTGTATTGAAACTAGGGAAGCAGGTTTCATTGACACTTGTGACACTAGAAAGCTTGGCATTTGTGGTATAATGTAATAAAGAATTGTTCAGTGTACACGAAGCAAATGAATCATGAATACTGTTATAATACTGGTTGTAATTAGTTTCATAAAGGCGTAATTTATTTAAGATCCATAAAATAGATATGCAAATAATGAAGTCGCTGATAACAAAAATGATGGATATTGGGTTATATCACGTGATTCAGTGGCACACTGGAAGTAAATAAAATTATTTGTTCGCTCATTGTCAAATAAACAATCTATTTGATGATGTCACTACATATCAACTAATGAAGTAGCTATTAACCCGGAGCTAATGCATCTACTTTCACTACATACTTGGCGTTTAGCAGTGTACAGACATGCAACCCGCTAGATAAGGCGACTTTAGCTTATCGAACAGTATAGAAGTATTATTCAACCTGCCAATTCCTACTTAGTTTTTACAATGTGCTGTTGTATATAATAAAGCCGACTAGATTCACTTCTCAAAATGAACACAATCCATGTGTATAATAATACTATACATTGAATTAATGCAATAAGTGAAACAGTGAAGAAAATTAAACGAGTAATTGCCTTCTCTACTACACTGCACTTGCAGCAATTATGGGAACCATCTACAGCTGTTAACCTAGAAGTCAGTCAAGCAGACAATGGCACAATGTTATTAAAATAGGGATATTTTTATACATTGAATTCACATAGCCCATATTACACTGCACCAATCAGTGCAGAGATATTGAATCTACTTAGGAATAACCTTTCAAATTACGATAATTCCTGTCCAAACCCACGGTGAAAGACACATCAACATGATAACTTCTTTTCGCACTGAAGGTTCTCTTAGCATTTACAGGTAGTTTCCATGTACTGATAGCGTTATTTTGGTCAAATGGTACCGTTCTTCACACGAAAGTAGCTACATCGATATCCTGAGACGTCAAGTCGTCATTGAATGATACTATGCCGAAAGGTGCAGCTTCTACATACAGTAAACCATTTGTGTAGACGACATTGCCCTCAAACTACCCCATCTTGCTCATTATAGCGATATTTTGACATAATCCTACCGAAACTTTTATCACTGCAACCAATGTGCTAGAAGTGTGTGGCAGTCAGTTGACTTGACGAGGCCACCAACATAACTATTCAGGAAATGAGAATATTTACCAATCCAGATAATATACAGCACAATTTTAATGAAACTCAATAATAAAAAGATTTATCAAGCGAAATTTCAACCAACGTGATGGATAAGTCCAGCCATACTAGCTCGTAAAAACGGAATTGGATATTGACGCGGGATTACGAATGAGCTTTCGGATATCACTGCCATAATTTTTGTTGATAGTAGCATATCCTAGCTTTTTGTTGTTTTCCCAAACCTGAGAAAATGGATTCTTCACTTCCAGAAGCATGCAGAAGGGTTTTTGATTTCAATTTAAACAGTATACAAGCCCCCATATGCCAAGAGGTTTAACTATCAGCCAGCTTTTATTATATTTTGATTAGGTATTTCAGACGAACAATTCTTTGGTTGTATCTGCACCTACCGGCTCAGGAAAAACTGCAGTTTTTGAATTAGCTATTGTGAAGCAGTTGAATGATTATGAAAATTCTTTTCAAAAGGACCCTTTTCTTATCATTTATAGTAAGTCTAAGTGATCGATTCTGGCTAATAAAAGTTGCACCAATGAAAGCAATATGTTCACAAGTTTCCAGGGAATGGAAGATAAAGTTTTCCAGTTTTCCACTGTGCTGCTTAACTCTGACCGGGGACTCTGATGTTGAAGACATCCAAAATATTGGTAATGAAGTTTTGCTCGTAACAACACCGGTACAACTATTGTATGCTGAATTTTACAAACTTTCCAGGAAAAGCTTAATGCTACAATAAAATCTTTCAGAGAAGTCTCTGAGATTTGGCAGAAGCTGAAACTGTGTTGTATTGACGAAGTTAGAGATTAAGATTGCTAATATATGCTTAAGGTTCATTTGTTAGGAGAGTCAGAAAGGGGATCAGTGCTCGAGGTTCTTATAACAAGAATCAAAATGTTATCTCGTCCTCGATTTGTTTGCGCTTCTGCTACACTATCAAATGTGCAAGATGTATAGTAATATATTTTATAACACAGTCTTACCTAATGTAGATTGCACAATGGTTAACTGTTCCAGAAAGAACTGTTTCTTTCTTTTCGTAGGTTTCAAGCTTTTGTTTGTAATATAATAGATTTGGGGAGGAATTCAGAATGTCACCAGTCAAGAAGATGGTCATTGGTTATATGCGCCAGAATAATCAATCTTTATTTCAGTTTGAAACAAGCTTAAGCTACAGGATTCCTCAACTGATAAATATGTACTCAGCCAACAGACCTGTTCTGGTTGTAGGTTCACAAGTTCAGCTTTAAAAGAATTAGTTTTGTACAACTAGAAGTGGCACTGTTCGAACTGCGAACGACATTTGAAGGGAGCAAGTTTCGTGGTTAACAATGAAGTCATAATGCAAAGACGCCATTATGCACAGGATATCAAGAATACACATTTAAAAGGTAAGTTGTGTAAGTGAATACTTCCTTAAAACTAGTCAAAATAGTATATTTCCTACCTTTTTTAAAAGTGACTGAAGAAGAAATTAGGTAGAGATATGGTCCCAGGTAAAGTAGTCACGAAGTTTGAAGTGACGCATACGTAATATACTGGGATACAAAAATCGTGTGAGAATACAAGCAATGGGAATGCAAGTAAATGGATGCTAACACACCAGTATTGCTGTGAAAATCAGCTAATGGTTTGAAAATAACTTGATAAATGCATCAGACACTTTTTGAGAGATTTACAAACATACATTGTTTGTTATATTTGACACTTATTTATCCACCTTTATCACATACTACCAATCATTTAAGCTTTGCCCTTTTTCGTGGCTCCCTTTTAGACAATTTTCGATAAAATTCCACATATTAAGATAAGTCTTAGGTTCGGAATTTAGAACATGTTAAGAGTCTACAAGTATGACACAAAGATATTGGTATTCATTGTTTATCAATACAAAAATCCAAATACTCGAAATGTTAGGCATTAATGCTCTAAATTATTGTTATTGTTTCCTTTAATTCCTGGAGGAACATAGGGCTTCAGCCGCGCGTCTCCATAACGTTCGGTTCTTTACTACAGTTTTCACCTGGCTCCACTTCTGCCCACATGCTTTCATCTCATATTCACATGACCACCTCCACTCCATGTCACCCTTACACTGATGACCAACCTGCCGCTTCCCATTCACTCGGGTTGCACTAGAGCGATGGCCTGTCTAGTGATGTCACTTGATGGTTTGTATTCTCAAAGGATGACCAATCCGCCTCCATTTCTTCTTGCCTACTTATTGCACAATCGGTTCTCGGTTGGTTCGCTCATTGCCAGAGATCTGTGTTGCTGATCTTTTCTGGCCGGCCATCTGATCTTGAGTATTGAGCGAAGACAGATGTTGATGAAGGCGTGTAGTTTGTTCGAAGTGCTCTTCATGACGCACTGATTCTCTGATCCGTGTGGTAAGTAGCACTGACTGGCTTCACATTGGAGTTGAAAATCCGGATATTATTTTTGATACTGAGTGCTATTGACCTTCACATAGACTTGAGAGAAGTGAAAGCTTTCCTTGTTTTTCGTACCCTCTCTTTGATATTCTCGTCATTTCTGCCTGTAGCTGAAACGATGCTTCCCATGTCGGTAGGTAGGTAAAGGAGGTTGCTCTAAATACAGAACTCTATTCAAAATAAGCAAAATTTAGGAAGAGCAAATCATGTGAAAACCAAACAGAAACGTGACATATCGTCATCAATCAAAACATAGAATGGAAGTCGAATCTCTGCCTCAACTTCATTGATCTTGGAAAGACTTTCAGTGGCATTGAACACAAAGTAGTCTCAAAACTGATTCACTACTACGTAGTGCCTCAAATAGATAACGATCTTATTCTAAAGCCCCATGGCAATGACACCCGTCAAATGACCCACTGAAGCAAACACAGGTGTAAAACAAGGCTATTTATACTCAACGATGCTATTCCTTATTATTTTCGACTGGATCAAGCGATAAGCCACCGACCAGAAGACTTTAGAAGATGTGGACTTTCTGAACTTTTTATGTTTGATGTCACACAAACTAAAAGACCTGAAAGTTGAAAACCAACAAGTTGTCAGTAGAAGTAGAGAAGACACGACTTCAAGTGGACATTTAGAAGGCAGGGATGATGAAGGTAACCAACGAATAACAAAATTACTAATGGGAGAAATTTGAATAAGGTCATTTCTTTCACTTATCTAAGCAGTGTTCTTTCAACTACAAGCGATAGCATGGATGAGGGTTTCAAAGGTAGGATTTGAAAAGCAAGACAGACATTCAATACTCTAAAATCAATGTGGAAATCAACTGTGGTCAGCGTAAAGAAAAAGACTCAGTTTTTCAAAGCTGATATCAAGTTCATTCTTCTATATGGTTCAGACAGTCTTCGCAAGAATCAGTAAAAGTATTCCCAACAGGTTCCAGAGATTCACCAATAAATGAGAATGAAACAACCAAGAACCCGCTGTCCAACAAATATGCTGAGGGGAATGCAAATGGGTCAAACACATGGTGAGGTGATCGTTGAGTGACAGTGCGAGCCAGGTCATCGCTTGAGTGAAAGCCAATTGGAAGATGGTGAGTTAGGTGTTAATTCCAGAGTGACATGGAGGAGATCGTGTGAGGGGGGGGGGAAATGAAAGCGCACGGGAAGTGAAAGAGCTAGCTAAACAGGACTGCAGAGAACAGGATGAAATGGAGATGTTCCGTTGAGGCCTCATATTCAACTCAGCACCCATAAGAACAATAAAAACTACGTCAAGTGTATCTAAGGTTTCATTTTAATGTTTTTCAAGCGCAGACCACCAAAAGCCCACTTTCATCTAGCCAGCTGTAGCTCTACCCTAAACTAATCAATTTTTTAAAGTTTATTCCTTTGGAGTAGGAAATACTAATATTAGTCAGGTATCTGATAGTGTTGCTTACCGATCTTTGGTTGGCACTTTAATAAATAAATAGTAAATAAATGTCTTCATCTAACTGACATATTTTTCTAACGAAAGTTTCTTTTTGAGTGTATGTGTATAAACGCCTTATGCAATCTCACATACGATGGTAAAGTATAATGGTGTTTTCAACCAAGATAAGTTGTTTCTTGCTTAGCTTCAGTTACTCAAAATATATTTTACATGTGCAAAGCCAAGATCCACACTTACCATATGAAGATTGGTGATACTACCCAGTTGACTTAATGCGAAACTCTGTATTTATGAGTGGTGATAGATTTTTCGCACGGAAAAGGAGATTCTGATGTACTCTTACCGTATATTTTCCCCAAGGAAATACAGATAGCAACACCAGTATTTAGTGAATTACACTGAAGGTAGTTTATTGTCTCTTCTAGTGAAATTTATAAAAATTTTAATAGAAAAGCATACATAACTGGAAATCATCGGTTGTGTTTATTAAGTGTCGTTAGTTAACTGGAAGAATATTGTGTTATTATTATTGTTTCCTTTAGTTCCTAGAGGAAAATAAGGCTTCAGCCGCGCGTCTCCATTACGTTCGGTTCTCCGCCAAAGTTTTCACCTGGCTCCACGTCTGCTCACCTGCCTTCATCTTCTCTTCACATGACTTCCTCCATGTCACACCACGTTCGCACTGACGACCAACTCACCGCTTCCATTTCCGGTTCCACTCGAGAGATTGTTGTGTGATGACACTTGATGGTTTGTTTTCTCAGAGTATGGCCAACCCACCTCCATTTCTTCCTGCTTATTTGTTTCACATTTGGTTCCTGCTGGGTTGGTTCGCTCATTGCCAGAGATCTTTGTTGCTGATCTTTTCTGTCCAGCCATCTGATCTTGACTAGTATTGAGCGAAGACAGCTGTCGATGAAGGCGTGTAGTTTGTTCGAAGTGCTCTTCATGACGCACCGATTCTCTGATCTGTGTGGTAAGTGCCACTGACTTCACATTGGAATTGGCGATCCGGATCTTATTTTTGATGCTGAGTGCTATTGACCTTCACATAGACTTGAGAGAAATGAAAGGTTTCCTTGCTTATCCGATCCTTGCTTTGATATCCTCGTCAGTTCCGTCCACTTGTGGCTGAAACGATGCTTCCCATGTCGGTAGGTAGGTAAATGAGGTTGTTTCTTCCAGGTTCCTCCCATTTATGCTGGGTGATTGTTGTCTGTTTTTGTTGTTGCTGCTGTTGGTGTTGGCCAGAAATCTTCATCACATCTGTTTTCCCTATGTTCACCTAAAGTGAAGGCTTATGTTTGATGCTTCTCCTGCCAACTTTGTGCTTTTCACTCGCATATCTTCTAGTTTGTGGGAAATCAGACAAATATCTTCGGTGAAGTCCTCCAACTATTTTGTGTGAGTCCATTTTGTGCTTGTTTCCTCGCTACTGGCTGTCTGTCTGTGGCATTATCCAGTCTATCCCAACCAGGAAAATCATTGGAGGTAGTAGGCACCCAGCCAGCTTTGTATTACTCTTGTTTTCGCTTCGAAGGATTCTGTGAGTTTCCCGTTGTGGATTACTTTGCGTGCAGCATTGTCGTACAACTATTGGATGAGATGTATATTTGTTGGCGGCACCCCTTGGTAGTAGCGAAGTAGTTACCAAATCACCTCTCGATCGACGATGTCGAAGGCCGTTTCAAAGTCGATGAAGTTGAGTGAGGCAGAGAGCTGACTGCCATTCTAAGCTTTGTTCAATGATGATCCGTAGTGTTGCGATTTGATTGATGCATGACTTGTTTCTCCTGAATGCAGCCTTGTTCCAGTCGAAGTTTTTCATCTAGGGCTTGATTGTGTCCCTCCAGGATGATGTGGCTTATTATTTTGCTTGGGATGAATTCACTGCTTGGGGAAAATGGAAAGCCTTTTTCTCTTTCTCATTGGTAATCTCACTATCTGCCAGAAAACTGTCAGCTACACACAGTATTATATAATCATCCCTTTTTCAACAAGGCAACTATCGTTATTTTATGCTCTAATACAGTTGAAATTACATTTGAAATTCTATAAAAGTGTTGAATACATTTAATTTGGTTACTGACTCCGAAACCATTAAAAACGAAGGCGCTCAATGATAAGTGATTTTCGGAAATATAAGCAATATAAGCAATAGGATATCCAGTAATCGAATTTTTATGAAAATTTGTGTGTGTGTGTGTGACAAACTTAGCTGCTGTCGCTGATTTGAGTTAATCCCTTAGGCTTTAGCCAGTTGTTCTCCAAACCAAACCCTTTCTAGAGCTTATGATGAACAAACAGATATTTTATGCCAAATAAAAGGCAAATTCAAATACTGGTTCGTAGATATTTGGTTGATTGATTACAGGATTTCATCATGAGCTGACATTGGTTAGAGGACCATTGGAAAACATGGGAGTAATGGACAGCTGTCTCGTCCCAGTTTGGGACTCTTATTCAGCAGTACGCACCCACCGTAGTTCGAACTCTGGACCTTCTGGTTACAAGGCGAGCTCGTGATAAAATCCTGTAACCAATCAACCAAATCCCTACAAACCAATACTTGAATATCAATGGGATGCTCACTGGCGACCGGCCTTATTCAGGTAGGTAGTTACCTGGGGTTCCAGTGGGAAGTCGTGACCAGTAGGGTGCAGCAGGATGAAGGTGAGGCAGTCATGAATTGGCAGAAGTTGGAAATCATTAACTGGCCATTGGATCGGGTCCCAGTGGCTTAATGGTATACTAGCTCGGTGGCCTTGTAACCAGAAGGTCCAGGGTCCAAACGCCCCAGTGTGGATGAGTACTGCTGAATAAGAGTCCCAAACTGGGACGAAACAGCTGTCCATTACTCCCAGGTTTTCAAATGATCCTCTAACCAATGTCAGCTCATGATGAAATCCTGTAACAAAAAGGCAAATTATCTGCACATTAACAAATGAATTTTTAAATAAAATTCATGTCATATCAAGACTAATACCAGATGTCTCCAATTAACTAAACTAATTAGCCGGAGATAAAACTTCGATAGCGAATTATTATTTATCAGCATGTAGAATAAAGCTATAACATGTAGTTGTTATAACACTCTGTTACCTGCTTTTTATTCTAATTCTGAACGATTTGAATCAACATAAAAAAAGAGCCTCAATGAGCTGCTACTGAAATTAATTTAGTAGAAAAGCTACTTATTACTTATTCAAATAGTAGTGGCAGATAAAACGTTTCTTTATAGAAGTGAAACTAAGGTCCACTAAGTCATTAAGTATTATAGATAAACGAAAATGATGACCCATAGACAATGGATTTGTTTTTTGTAATGACTGCTGTCATTCCATTAAATTAAAGAAAAACTTTGTTTTCGTGTCGTTTGTAATGTTTACTTTGTTAAACTATAATCTTTACTGGATGGAGGATTTCATCATGAGCTGACATCAGTCAGAGGACCATTGGAAAACTAAATGGTAGTACTAGACAGCTGTTTCGTCCTAGTGCTTGGGACTCTTATTCAGCAGTACGCACCCACCGACAGGGTTCGAACCCACGACCTTCTGGTTATGAGGCCACAGAGCTCGTAGACCATTGAGCCACTGGGACATGATTCAATGGCCAGTCCATAAACTCCAACTTCCACCAATTCATGACATAGCGTGACCACTTTACAATGTCTTCTTCGATGAGTTACTGCCTTCCAGGTTTTCCAGTAGTTCTCTAAATGATGTCAGCTCATGATGAAATTCTTCATCCAATCAAACAAAATCCCTACAAAACCAATACTTGAAAATATATAGTTTTTATGTCTAGTTTAGGCTTTGTTTAAAAATGCCATGTGCAGCTGAAGAAATGCCTCAAAATAGAGATGTTCACCTATTTCACTGCAAATCTCGTTCTTCTTAACTTTGACAGAAATTAGAAGTCGGTTTTTTTAAAAGTAGTGGAACGACAGAAGACATAGATAGATCTGGAAAAGAATATTTGTTTGCAATGTGGTATCTTAATATAGCAAATTTATATACATCTTATCTTAAACGCACCAATTGCACAAATCTTTCGTGTTCCTTTCACGTCTCCCATGTATCTCCACAACGCTGTACCATATGCCTTCTCTGACATCAAACATCGCTCTCTGCTATTTGGTGTTTTTTTTGTGCCGATGAACGTCTCTTTATATACTACTAATAAATCTTATCAGTAACACTCGCCACAGTTGATGATTGCAATTATTACTTATCTCATGACCTAATTATTCATAATACTCTTGAACATCCATTTTAGAATCTGTTCTAAACGGTGTCGCCTATCATCATGCTGGCATGGATGCTGAAGACAGAAAAATTATTGAAGATGCCTTCATATCCGGTTGTTTATGTGTATTAAGTAAAATTGAAAATTGAATTATTTCATCATGCTTTTTTTATTCAAAGCATGCACCAGTACACTTGCAATGGGTGTTAATTTACCAGCACATTTAGTGATTATAAAAAATACTGAACAATATATTGATGGTGATTTAGTCGGCTATAATTCAACCCAGATATCACAAATGGTTGGAAGAGCAGGTCGTCCACAGGTAGGATATTAATTTTTTGAAATAAATTATTTATCTTCATTATTAATAAAGGTTTTTTGTATTTCCCAATGAATGAAAAACAAAACGATATTGTTTTTACTGATGGTTTTCTATTTAATGCTAATAGCTTCATCAAAGTTTAATTGAATTTCAGATTTTCCCGTCGACTGTTTGGACCGAAGTGCTCGGTCTCAGGTTGACATATCGGCTTCTTGTGCAGATGCTTCTACAATGCCTGGGTATGTAATTAGAAGTTAATTGGTGGATGGTGACTAGCAATGGTATCCAGGATAACGCGCATTTCGTCCTATTTGGGACTCGTCATCTGGATATACCTGCATTTCTAAGTGAGTGATGATTTTCCCAAATAGGACGAAATGTGCATCCTGGATTCCACTGCTAGTCACCATCCACCAATTAAGCTTTATCAAATTGTTATTAAACCAGGATTTTACAAAATTTCCTCAGCTTATAAATAACAAAGCGATTCTGTGTATCTCCCAGAATCTAGTTCACTTCGGAAGCAGAATCAGACGTTGGTGAACTACTATTTCTAGATTGCCTAGTTAAGAGAAAGGAAAACGGACACTATTATATCCATATTCTGGAAGAAAACCCACTCCAATAAATATTTAGACTTCAAATCATCACACCCCATCAGCGCAAAGATTTCACTTGTTTCAAGTCTTCTTAGACGACCACACACTCTGACGTTAACGGATGAGAAAGAAAAAGAAGAAGATATATCAAACTTTACTGAGAATCTCAAGCAAAACAACTATCCAACGAACTTCATCAACAAAATCAACACAGACATTAAGTATGGCCGAAAACGTATTCCGAAAACATGGACCTCAACAGTCGTCATTCCATATAGAGCAGAGACGTCAGACGATACCACAAGAGTACTCAATCAGCTCGACATTAGAGTTTTCTTCAAAACGTCAGACATACTACGAAACAACCTTGTCCATATAAAAGACCGAATCCCTAAAGATTCTCTATCTAATTGTGTCTATAAAATAAAATGCTCGGAATGTGATGCGATAAACATCGGACAAACATCGCCAGAAATAAATCAAAATCAGAAGAAATGAACACCGTAGAGCCGCATCTGTTCGACCACCGACAAATCCAGTTGAACTAGAAAAACTTGAAAAATCATCAGCCATAGGTCTCGTGCTATAGAATCAGGCCACAAAATTGATTTTGACAATATTGAAATAATCCAGAAAAACTTCAGAAATCACAAAGAACCTCTAATATCAGAAGCACTTCATATCAAATGGAATCCAAATTGTCTGAATAGGAATGATGAACTAAAACAGAATTTGACCTGGTTACAACACCTCCCCCCCCTTCCCTCATGAAGTGACAAAATCAACACTATGTAAACACACTACTTTTATAACTTTACACACTGATCAAATCCAACAATTTACACTTGATTTTGTTGTCTTTACCAATTGACCAACTTGACAACGAAAAATGACCTTAGACAGACGAACGATGATCAAGTTTGTAAACTTTATTTTGATATCATAACAGACGTACTATTACCTTCGATATTTAGTTTAGTGATCTTCATCGCTATTCGGACATTCAATATATCCCCTTTAACTTGACATAAGTCTATTTTCTCACCCCTTAGCTCTTTGTTATATATATGCTGAGATTTTATAAATTCCGGTTTAATAATACTTTGACAAACCTATCAGCAGCAGCATTAAATAGCGAAACGTCAGTAAGCACAACAATATATTTTTGTTTCTCATTCATTGGGAAATACAAAAAAAACTTTTATTTTAATGAATATCATATATGGGATGCCCAAATTTTTTCAAACTTAAAAGTGAACTTGGTTTGGATATATATATATATATATATATATATGTATATATATATATATATATATATATTATCTATTCATTTTTATTGATTTCAATCATTTAATTATTTAGCAATGATTTGTTATTCACATTGAGAAATATTAATTAACAAATCAAGAATAACAGGTGAATTACTGACAGGAACTGTAAGTAGTATAAGTTCAGAATGATACAAACAGTTAAATTATCAAGTGTTAAAAAGATTTACACAAACCTATATACTACTGATTAATTGGGATGAGTAGTTGTATATAGCTCAATCTCTCTGGCAAGCACTACTAGTTGATGCGAATGGTATGCGACCACTCATGTCAATCAGTTGGTAGTATTGAGTGCTATGTCGTTATGCTTGCTTTCTGAATTACCAAACAGATCACATATTGTGGTCTGAATAATTTAGTTTCCAAGTAGAAGTGTGTCCACTGCAAATTGCTAGCTAATTTGCAAATTGTGAATCTCATTTATGCTATAAAGACTAATTGTTTGTATCATCCTAGTGCTTGGGACTCTTATTCAGCAGTACGCACCTACCAACACGGTTCGAATCCAGGACCTTCTGATTATGAGGCCATCGAGCTCGTAGACCATTAGCCACTGGGATCCGATCCATTGGCCAGTTCATGATTTTCAACTTCTGACAATTCACGACAAAGCGCGACCACTAGCCAATGTCTTCTTCGTTGAGTTACTGCTGCACCCTATTGGTTATGGCTTCTTACTAGAATCCCAGATTAACTGCCTAAGTAGGGCCAGTCGTTAGTGAGCATCAGATCAATTTTCAAGTATTGATTTTGTAGGAATTGCGTTTGATTGTTTTCAGGGTTTCATCATTAGGTGACATCAGTTAGAGAACCATTGGAAAAACTTAGGAATATTGGACAGCGTACTGATGAAGAGTAAAGTAGAAGTTAAAGAAAAGAAAAGCAAAGAATGAAAAACGATACAATACATGGGAAGAAAAGAAAGTTAAAACTAATTAACAAATAAAATATTATCAGCAAGAAGGAGACGAAAAATTAATGACCTGGCGACACTTAGATGGAATCTGTGACATATCATTTAAATTTTCTTAATCTAGTTCTTTGTGGTTATGTGGATCGCACACACAGTAGGTAGGGATGCGCAATACATATCCAGGGATGGTCAGGTGACGGAAGTCTATAAGTTGTCCTATTAGTTTACATATTTGGCCTCAACACTATTGAGGCTTGTTTTACAGAAAACTGTGGTAATGTCTGGAAGGTAATGATGGACAAATATGTATGCAGTTGTTACCATATCTCCCACCTCCCTATGATAAGCGTGTTTAGCGACAGCGTAAAAACATACCAACATACATAATCGTGTTGCGAGCTACTAAAAGATATATTCAAAACATCTTTACTTATTTAATCGGTTACAGGGACAATAAATTAAAATTATACAATTTGCAATTATTACCGTTCTCTGAGCTGGTTGGTTTAGTTGTGGGGCTTTCGTTGTCCTTCAGGAAAACATCTTCAGCGCAATTTTTAGGATAAAATGAACTGATTTAAATTTTCCATGAGTGGTAGAATTGCGTCTCCCGGTAACCATCTTTACATATGTATTGACCATTTTCTATTGACTTGGATTTTAAACTTTCTCGCCACTTGTTATTAGTTGGTATATTGGGTCTATATTAACGTGTTTGTTAATTGCATACTCGTTTGAGTACCAGGAGTCTAGGAATTCACTGACTGCACTTTTGGTGTTTCGTCTGTCTAAAATTTCGACATTATCCCAATCGAACTGATGTCCATAATTATCCATATGCATTGATATGAAAGAATATATATCATGTCTTTTCACGGCTGATTTGTGTTCATGAATTCTGATTCTAAGGGGACGCCCACTTTGGCAGGTGTAATGCCTGTTACAGTTCATGCAATTTATTTTGTAAATGGTGTTAATTTTATCTCCTTTTTCTGTTGGATCTTTCCGTTTGCATAATATCGAATTCAGCGACTTGACTGGCTTGTGTGCTGTATATCTATATCAAACGGTTTAAGTATTCTAGCTGTTATTTCAGAGATATTTTTCATATATATATTTCATGTATTTTCACTTTATGCTAAGTATTGCACTGGAGATGTTGTCCAGAAGGACGACGAAACCTCAGTAACTAAACCAACCAGCTCAGTGAACAGTATTAATTGCAAACTATCCACCTGAGCTACAAATCTTTATTATTTCAAAGTTATACGATATTTTAGTCATCTCCAGATTATAAATATGTGACCTTGAAGGCGATTTTATCAATCAGACTAACGATCAACTTGCAACTGCATTTTAGCTAATGAAAATTTCATTCAATCTTCATATTTAAGGTAGCCTTCTAACAGGGTCATAAAATTGCATTGCATTCTGCTATACTGTTAGTCTATGACTGACTGATTCCAATATAGAAATTTGCACCGTTGTGCAACAGTTCGAGCTGACACACTTCCTCCTTGTAGCATACAAAGCAAGAGAAGAGAGAGAGAGATAATAAACAGAAATATGGGGCAAGAAGAACAGTAGTAATATGGAAGAACAACAGAATTTTAATGGATATTATAAATCACAAAGAGTGAATACAACTGCGCCAGCCATTGAGACCGATTTTGAGCCAGCCATATCACCAATTGTATCCAGCCATTAGTTCTTACCATCCTGAGGACCCCAACCAAACTGGTAGTCTGCATCTCCATACTTGATTGGCCAGCTTAAACTAACTGTTGTGGATTATCACCAACTGATGAAACCATGTTTTGGTTTCAGTTGATGAACTGTTAGTTTATAAACTCATCTAGATAATATAATTTGACAGAAGTTATGTTGATTGAAATATAATTATGGCCAGTGCATTAGTTGAAACATATCACACCACAGATTTTATTTCACTGTCGTAATCACATCCCCATAATCAACACTTTTGTTAATTGATTGAATAAATTAATTTTATAACTGATTTATGTTTGTTTTCTTATTTTTTTTTGTTTTTGTATAGTTTGACGATGAAGGTATTGCAATTATAATGACATCCAGTAATTTAAAAGTATGTGTTCAATGTGTTCAATTAAAAATAATCATAAATTTTAATGAATAATCATCATATTTTCTAGATGCATTATACAACACTGTTAAATACATTTGATGAAATCAACAGCTGGTAGGTGATATATTCATTCTTTTCTTTCTTTTCTTTTTCTTTCACTGTTATTATTATTATCATTTGTTCTGTGGATTCTAAATGGAATATATATGGAGAGCTTCAATGGAACATCTCAATTGCACTGAATTCTTTGCTTAAAAAGCTTCCATGAACTCCCTTACACAATCTGCTTTTAGGATTGATTGGTTAAATTATTATTATTTTCTTAAAAACACACAAGAGAAAACTGTGTTTGTATTGAGAAATGAAGTCATATGATGGAATTACCACAAAATCAGGAAGTTTTACAAAGTATCATATTTCTATATGTGTAAAACTTGGGCACTGTGGTAGTAAGTAATTCCATATTAGTTTGTCTATTAGATATATCACACACAGTGATGAAACACTGTTCTTTACTGGATAACACAGTTTCGAACAAAATTTATTGTTCATAATCATTCCATCAATTATAATCACACGACTTCGAAACTTGAGTTTTATAGTTTTTTTTGTCCTCTCCTATACCAATACTTGAAAATCCTCTCCTGTTTGTGCTACGGGTAGTAGAATTTTCCAGATATCCGTCTGGGACAGCGGTGTGCTGAATCATTCCTACTACACGTCTTTGCAGTTGATTCGATAAACAATCTCTCCCTCCACCTTGTGACATTAGATTTTAAAACTGTCATCCTATCCCCACCAGCTTATTATATGGTTGTGTGTAATTGCATGTGGTGAGTACAATAGCTGAACTATTCTCTAGATTTCTTATCTAAGTGTCGGGTCAACTAATCTGGATTTTGCTAGGCTCCTATGCTCCGCTGGTCTGACTGCACCTGTTCTACTAGTTTGACCTATGTATTTTGACCTGACAATCATTGCAGTCAGGGTATTAGATAAACTGAATTGTTTTGTTTTAAAGGCTCTACAGGATTGATCCTTTAACCGACAAAACTTGTTTCTAATTGAGTTTGTGGTTGGTTTGAGTGCCGGGCACTTTTATTCCTGCCTTGTTAAGAATTCTGCGTAAGGTTTCCGAGGTTCCTTCCTTGTATGGAATAACTACTGATGATTTAGATTCCTTATTGTTGGTGTCGTCATTAAAATTATTATTATTATCATTATCGCTACTATCATTATTTATTTTATTTTTACATTTCCTTACATATTTCCTGACTAATTTATCCGGGTAATTATTAAGTTTCAAGGCTTCTTTTATGTATATAACTTCCTGTCCTAGATTTTCCTTGGTACTACATAGTTTTTGTGCTCTGTCACTTAAACATTTCATCAATCCTATTTTCACTGACATAGACCGGGTGGGATGATCGGAAGTCCAGATATCTGTTTGAATGTGTGGATTTCCTGTGAACACTAGTGTTTAACTTCCCATCTTCTTTCTTTTTTACGCTACAATCTTACATTGGCAGTTCCCCTTTCCTGACTTTCCACTACCCCTAGGACAAATAGAAGAAGACAAAGAAAACTATAAAACTCAAGTTTCAAAGTCGTGTGATTACAATTGATATGATTACGAACAATAAATTTCGTTCGAAACATTGTCGTCCAGTAAATAATACTGTTTCATCACTGTGTGATATATCTAATAAACAAACTAATACAGAATATCTTATTTCTAATAGAGGTTTTTTGTATTTCCCAATGAATGAAAAACAAAACGAGATTGTTTTTACTAACGTTTCTCTATTTAATGCTAATAGCTTTCTCAAAGTATTATTATTATTATCTTATTTCTAATTTAAAGTTTCTTCATATGAGATTAATGTCAAATTTTTCGGGTAGTATATTTAATAGTGACAGTAAGAGACTACTGTATTAGTCACTGTGTTAGATTTAAAAGTCAATCTGAACGAAGAATATTCTTTTCAATAGTTTCTCCCTTCAGGTTCTTACAATTATAAAATATAATATTTGTGGTCGTTACAATAATGGCCAGTTATGCGGCGGATACATTTTTAACGTAGAATAACAGATTAGTTATGCACTTAATATCCCCCTGCTGAACGTAGCTGGTAAGTGTTCACGAACCCGTAGACGAACCTGCCTAATAGTGCGCCCTATATAACTTGAACCACAGGAACAGTTGAAATGGTATAGGCATGAAGAAGAGCTAAGGTTAGGTAAGAAATCTTTGAGTTGCTGGGTAAACATTGGACGGCTAGTGAAGGATAGACATAGACGTGCAGAGTAGAAAGTTTTCTTGATCGCCCTGGTTAAACGTTGAGATAGAATCTCCGCAGGAATATCTCCCTTGAATTGGAGACGTAAAAACAAAGGTTTTTTCTCCATAGTTGCCAGTTCATGTTTACGACTATTATAACTTATGTTGGCTTTAATGAACTTCTCTGTATATCCGTTCTCGCTTAGAATGTCTCGGATGATCTGGATAATAATAACTGGTTAAGAATGCCCATTAAAACTTTCAAAAGAATGGATATTGAACAAAGAATACTCTCTTCGATAACTTCATCATCAGGCTCTACAGTTATATATACATTATAGTCAATGAATTAGTGTTATGAACGACATTAATGTCGTTTAAGTAACATCGAATCAATAATAATATCAATAGATAACAGTTCAGTAGCATCAACATAACTGTACACAGTGAATTTCAGAAAAATTAGGAAAGATAATATTACAAATTCATGAATTTATAGTTTCTACTGAAGACCGGCCAGGGCAGTAGTAGGGGCTGGACTTGCTTCTTTTGTACACAGAGCACTGGTTGTTTGAGGCGAATTGCAGTAGCCTTTGCTGTTTGGAGAATGCGATGCTTCGATGTTTTTGGCAGCTCATTTGGCACCTTTTAGCCAATTCGAAGCAGGTGTTCTAATACGCAGCTATTTATTTAACCATACTGGGAGATGTTCTCGAGTGAGGACAAAAATCAAGTTCCTAGAGCAACAGTCGATATAACTCGCTCAACAAGCGCAGTTGAACTGGTAGATACAATTAGAAATGGCTAGCCAGTCCAGGTGCTTCATCTTTGGATTGAGGAACCACCATCGGTCGTGTAGAAAATAAGACGTGTAGTTCGCCAGCATTAAAAGTTCTTTGAACTGATTTTCTTAATTTATTCGTAATTATTTCACTTGTTATATAGCCCATGAGTTGTAGTCGAAAATATAAAGACTTCTTGTTTACGGATAGTGAGTAATCCTTTTCCGCTTTCTTTGTCATGCATTTCTTGATAAACTTGTCGGATAGTTAGCTATTTTCAATCAAGGTATGATATACAATGCTTAATTCGCCTTCAGTTACTTCTTCTGAGCATATAGCTCTAACTCTGTGGCTGATGGTCTTTACTAAATTTCTTTTGTACTTAAAAGGAACGAAACTGTGAAAATGTGTATATTGTCCTGTTAAGGTACTTTTTCTATGCAAATTTCTTTTTATGCCACCATCTGGTTTTCTTGTAAGGAGGATATCCAGGACGGCAATTCTGTTTTCGGATTCCTCTTCGCACGTGAATTTCGTAGCCAAATGTACTTCATTGAATTCAGTTATTATTGTACTCCTATCCGAATGAATATCACAAAGAATGAAGGTGTCATCCACATACCAGCAATAAAATGAGAACATTTTGATATGGTTGTTCAAAGGTCCATTTTTTAGTTTACTTAGAAAGAAAACAGCCAAAATAGGACCCAATGGGGAGCCCGTCTCCACCCAGTCCACTTGTCAGTGAAAAAAATTTTCCTTCACGTTCCCAGTGGAACATAGGGCTTCAAGCTAGTGGCTTGAAGTTTCTGTAGCAGTGTTTATTTTTTACAGGATGAGGTTGCTAGCCTCATGCCCAACCTTTCATCTTTACCAGCATTATTTCTGGCTTAGTGAGGTAAAGGAGTGCGCCAGCCGGGGATTCAACCCCGGACCATATGCATGGTCGGCGAGCGTTCAAACCGCTATGCCACCGAAGCACAACATAATCAGGGCGAGGTGCATGCATATAGCACACAGCCTTCTTCAAACCTTGCACACAACAACCATTAGGTCGCGTACTATCCCATCGCCCTTGGCAGATCTGGCAACAAAAGTCACGCGAACACCATCAGAGCATATGACAGGCTAGGTACCCCTTGTCAATGGAGTGTGCCATAAAATTTGAAATCTAATAATAAATAAACGGATGTTTCAATAATAATACTGATTATGGCTTTATTCCAAACATTATATTAAAATCAATGTCGAATTTTCAGTATGTAGTACAATATTGGATCTCGTCTTCGTCTTTACATCACACAATAGCGGGGGAAATGACTAACAGAGCATACATATTATTAATAATGTCAAAAAGAATATGAGTGTAAAATTAAAATTTAGGTGGAAATATTTCATCAACAATGATAATAGTGAAAGTAATAATAATAATAATAATAAGAGAAAAGGGTCGTTTACTTAATGTTTCGCAGTAAGTTAGTAGCGTTACGCCTTACACTTTTCTCACCACATAATATTCCTGCCTAACAAAATATCGTATAGTTTTTATACTTAATCGTTCGACCATTAAGTCTTTTTAATTGCTTCTAGTCATACCTGATGAGATGTACGGAGAGAGTTGTGCGCCCAGAGAAGATACTCAAAGACGCTATTCACTAATTTCTCATATAAGTGTGTCAAGTGTCTATTAACAACAGTGTGTTAACCAGTTGGTTTAGCGATACTCCAGCCACCCTACCGACAGCTTTTAGTGTCCTTCGCAGTGCAACAAAGTTTAGGCGAGGTGAACGATAAAAAAGAAGAGGTAGAATACATAAAATAGCAAACTGTAAAAGTAGCGACTAGTTGAATGACACCAGCTTGTCTTATCTTCCTTTAATTATAAGGTTAGACAAAATGTCTTTCTAGAAATGAACATGATGTGAAAGATCAGAGAAAAGACATAATCTAAGATACTTAGTGTTCAACTTAGTTTCAACTTCAGTGTCATCTATGATACATAAATCATGGGAATTGATCGGTTTATGTAAATCATGCTTGTTGATATTAGATGGTTGGAGGCGATCGGCCACAGGAAACCTTCGACCTAGGTTTCGTGCTAGTTGGCACTCACCAGTCAGCAAGGCGTATCCGCAACCTTGAAGGAACTCATGTCCCCTCTGAGGTTCAAACCCGCGTCACCTAGTGGTGCAGTCAGAGACATTACCACTGAGCTATTCGGGCTCGCGATTGACCTCCTGTAGGACTGTAGTGGGTATTTTGATTTGAAACTAGTAATTAGTGTGGTGTGTCTAGTCCTCTCATTGGTGCAGACTGAATTCTACCAGTCAAGTTGTAATCAGGTCACCATTCTAGGTGGCGGGTTCAAATCTCAAAAGGGACATGAGTTCCTTCAAGGTTACAGATACGCCTTGCTGACGAGTGCCAACTAGCACGAAACCTAGGTCGAAGGTTTCTTGTGGCCGATCTCCTCCAACCATCTAATATCATCAAATCAACGTGATGGTGAGCTACCTAGAATGGTGGACACATTACAACCTGACTGATAGAATTCAGTCTGAACCAATGAGAGGACTAGACACATCACACTACTTACTAGGGTCAAATCAAAAAATCATGCTTGTGTCTGAAAGTGAAATTAATAACCTAACATTCGGATGAATTTATCTTGAGACCGTTTGGCAGTGGATTACATATTTTTTCCTTCACATTCCCCAGTGGAATATAGGGCTTCAAGCTAGTAGCCTGAAGTTTCTGTAGCAGTGTTTATTTTACAGGATGGGATGCTAGGCTCATGCCCAACCTTTCCTCTTTACCAGCATTATTTCTGGCTTAGCGAGGTAAGGGAGTGCGTCGACCGGCGATCGAACCCCAGACCGTGTGCATGGTCGGTGAGCGTTCTAACCGCTATGACACCAACGCATGGATTACTGATACTTGAAGGCGAATACAAGGTTATTTGGTTGGTATTGGCTAGCACTATCGTCTAAAATGAGAATGTCGTCCTGTTTGGGACTCGTTGGTTGAATTCATTTGAATCTTTAGTTTGTTATCATAGTATTTCCACAGAGACTTGAACTACGCCTAAATTATAACACTTACAATGAATTTACTTTAATTATTTAATTTAATTTTCTTTTGTTTAAATAGCTTGAAACCACGTCTACTACATCATTTACTATGTGAAATCATTCTAAGAACGGTGTATGATTCGAATAGTATTTTGAATTGGATCAAAAATACATTCTTTTATGTTCGATTAAAGAAATTTCCACAAATATATGGTAGGTTTCATCTTGGAAATATATATGCCAACCTATTTTTTAACATTCATTATTTGAGAAAATTTCGTGTACTTTATTGATAAGCTCTCAATCCATGGGCGATTCAAATGCTTCCCACTGACTGAATGGTCTACAAGCTTGTCTTGTAATCGGGGCATCCTGTGTTTGAACTCTGGTAGCTAGCTACTGATGAAGAACCTCAAACTAGGACAAAGCAAGTGGCCATTACTTCCTGACTTCCCGACCGGAAGGTTCAGGGTTTGAACCCTGGTGGTGGATGTGTACTGCCGATGATGAAACGGCTGGCTGTCCAGTACTCCCTGCTTGTTTTCAATAATTCTCTAACTGATATCAATCCGTGATCAACTCGTCCCCAATGATTCTCTAAGTTATGTCAGGTCGTGATCAAACTGGAAACTCTCTATCTCTCCCTTTCTCAGGAATTTTTAACACTTCTATCTGCATAAATTCTACAAAAAAAACGAAAGATGCTTCCCTAGAAAAATGGTCTTAAGTCTTTTAAAGGCCGATTATTTTTCATAAAAATTCGAATTATTTACACGAGAGTATCATTTCTTGTTGTTTATATTCTCCAATCTAAAAATTCTAAAAACTAGGCAAAATTTGAAAACATAAACAATGAGCAGTGATTGAATGCGAAGTGGAAAAATTGGTCACATCCCGATTCGAAACACCCAGCCACAGAATCCAGAGTTCAATTCTCGACGAACCAATTGAGAGATGCAAGAGATGCAGCTAAATTTGTCTGTTTAACGCAATCTCTGGATTATGCGTCAGACAGTGAGAAACGGGGAGACACGGATATCCTGGACCGACGTGAAGAACCTAGAAGACCTGGATTTCGCGCGTGGATGATTTATGTTTGATGTCACACAAAATCGAAGACTTACAAGCGAAAACCGACCGACTGACAAACTGGTCGAAGAAGCATCCGGCGAAGACAGGACTCCAGGTGAACATATACAAGACGGAGGTGATGAAAATAACCAACCAACCAACCAACAACAGCAGCAGCACCAACATCCAGCGCCAATCACCATCAACGAGAGCGATTTTAAAGAGGTAATCTCACTCATTCACTTATCTAGGGAGCATTGTCTCAACTACAGAAGGAACGGACGGGGATGTCAAATCGAGAATCGGAAAGGCGAGAAACACATCATCATCAACCTGAAACCAATCTGGAAATCTTCGTCACTCAGCGAGTATCAACAACAAAATTCAGTCGGGTTTTCAATACAAACGTCAAGTCGGTCAGTTCTTCTATACGGAACGGAACAGAAACTTGGCGGTCGGGTCACAAAGAATATTTCCAACAGGCTGTTGCAGATCAGACCTTTATCAACAACAACTGTCTTCGCTGGATCTTTACTGAAGATCAGATGGCCGGGCTGGGCCGGCAAGAATCACCAACATGAAACAAGAAACTATGGGCACAAAGAAACAAAACAAGGACCAGCCAATTGGCCAACAAATATGCCGGAGAAAGTGGATGGAGACGGATTGGATACCCGCCGAGGAGGTCACTGAGTGAAATCGCGCGCGCGTCAGGCCATTTCTCGAGTGGAACCAGGCCAAAAGTGAAGCGGCAAGTGTGACGTCAGTGCAAGGGTGGGGTGACATGGAGGAGATCGTGTGAAATAGTATTTTGATTTTAAAACAGTATGGACTAACATGGATTCAGGTGAAAAGTAGAGCAGAAGACAGAAGTGGAAAGTGGAGACGTGCAGTTGAAGCCCTATGCTCCACTAGGAACCCAAGGGAACAATGATAATAATAATGAATACCTTTGGCGGCCAAGGATTATTTAAAGAGAAATGGAGCATATCTTTTGCATTGAGTTAGATTCAAACAGGCCACCATGAAAAACCAAAAAATAAACATACTACTACTCATCTCTGTAATGTAATGACTTATAATCCGTTATCGAATGGTATAAAGGTAACTTGTCGAACAATTTTTTGATGAATAAAGCTCGTTTGAAAGTATCTGCTAACGAGACTCTACACGAAGGGATGAAGGAAGGCAACTTTTAGAGTCCCTGATTATTGTTCAAGGTGTAGGTTAGCTAAGTGAAGTATTGAAAATGATGAAAGTAAAATGACAAAAAATATCTCTGGTGACACAATTTATATCTATTTTTCTGGAATACCTGTTGGTCTACCTTTGTTCATTTCTTTATTGTACGCTGCTGAAAAAAATGTGGCATCAACTTCAGCTGGCTGATTTGAGTTCATTGTTTCACATTATTTATTGTTTCTTATCCTCTGTATATACCGATGAATAACACGGTTGTTCACGCTATTACAATGTGTGACATAACTGAAATACAATTTCACTGCTAATATTTCTTGACATATCATGATGATAACATCTAAGTGTACAATTTCCTAGTTATTTTCTGTTATTTTCAAGTATTGGTTTTGTATGGATTTTGTTTGAATGTATGGAGGATTTTATCATGAGCTGACATCAGTTAGAGAACCATTGGAAAACCAACTTGGAGTAGTGGACATTCAGCTGTTTCGTCCTAGTTTGGGACTCTTCATCAGTACATACCTGCCGCCTTGGTTTGAGCCAAGGACCTTCTGGTTACAAGACCACAGAGCTCGTAGACCATTAAGCCACTGGGACTTGATCCAGTGGCCAGTCCATGAATTCTAACTTCTGCCAATTCACGACATAGCACGACCATTTTGCAATGTCTTCTTCGATGAGTTACTGCCTCATCTTCGACCTGCTGTACTCTACTGATCACGGCTTCCCACTAGAACACCAGGTTAACTCCCTGAATAGGGTCAGTCGCTAGTGAGCATCGCGTCAATTTTCAAATATTGGTTTTGTACGGATTTTGTTTGAATGTATGGAGGATTTCATCATGAGCTGACATCAGTTAGAGAACCATTGGAACACCTGGGAGTAATGGACAGCTGTTTCATCAGCCTAGTTTGAGACTCTTCAGCAGTACGCACCCACCGGGTTTATACTTCTTCACATAAAAAAACGATTAGTTTTTATTAGGATATCTGTGAAGTGTACTCATCACAATGTGATAAATTTCAAAACAGATTTATTAGATTGGTGGCGGCTAACAGTTTAAACTAGGAAGCCTATTTAGAAAATGTCTCCTGAATATCCACGCCAAGCAAAAAATATTAAGTTTGTTCATCCTAGAGAGATTAAAAGATGCTCACGGTGCAGAATTTTGTCTGGAAAAATGCTGGATTTAGGAAGGGTAAATCATGCATGGATAAAATTGCAACTGTACGCACCATCATCATCGAACAAACCATATAATGGCGGTCAAATCTCACCTACCTTAACCTTATCAAGTCTGAAAAGGCTTTAAACAGCGTTGACTGTGAAATAATTTGTAATCTGCTTCAACAATAAATAGTGCTCCCGCCCCCCCTCCTAAAGCTATATCGATCCCATTCAATAGCTACATGATAATGCAACATGTCAAGTGAGATCCACAACAGAAAACTCAGAGAAGCGTTTGAAGTGAAGACAGGAGTAAGAAGACAAGGCGCCTACTATCATCGATGACATTGTTGATTGTGGTGGGCTGATCTATACATCAGACTGTCCCCACAGAGAGGAAACAGAACTATGTTAGACTGGCAAGAAGTATTATAGCAGATTTAAACTTCGCAGATGATTTATGTCTAATCTCATATAGGCCTGAACACTTACAGGAGAAAACCATCAAGTTAGCAGAAGAGGCAGCATAGAAAGGACTTCAAGTAGACACAGAGACAACACAGGTGATGAAGATACACGCGAAGACCCCCACCACCAACAACAATTTACAATCGCTATTAACGATAGAAATTCAAGACACATCACTTATTTGCGCAGCATAGTTTCATCTAGATAAGGTGGCATGGATGAGGATGTCAGAACTATGATCGGAAGGGCCTGGCACAGTTTCATTACTCTAAAATCAGATTGGAAATCTTCTGCACTCAGCATAAGGAAAACACAATTCAGATTTTCAATACTAACACCAAGTGTTCAGTTCTTCTATGTATGTCAGAAACTTGGCGCTCACACCACCAAGAGAATTTCGAGCAGGCTTCAAACTTTTATGAACGAATCTGTTTGTCTGTCTGTTTTCAACATAGAACTTTGCATCGATATGGAGCAATTCAAGTCGCCACACTCCATGTAGCACACACCTCCTTGCGTGACTGGGTTAAACTAACTGTTGTGGATTTCATTGATTGATGAAGCCATCTTTTGGTTTGACTACCGCTAGCTCTTTTCCAGCCTGGCCCTATGTTAACTAGCATTGCCTGTTGTTGAGGAAGGCGATGACTAGGCATACGTAACACATGTCTTAACCATCTCGGTCGATGTAGGTCCACAGCATCGTCGATTGATTTCTCCTTCCTACTTTTGCTGGATCAATATTGAAGAACAGATGGCCGATGGAAAGAATTAGCAACCAGAAATTCTGGGAACAAACCATGAAGAACCCATTGTTCATCAGGTATAGAAATGGATCAGACACACACTGTAAAAACTGTTGGCTGACATCACACATCATACCACTGGTCAAATTGGAAACGACGAGTTGAGCGTTGGCTGAGAGGGGGGAGAAGATGAGAGTGATATATATATCCATATAATATGTGTGTTTGTTTGACAGTCTGATCTTGGTGACATGTATCCATATAAATTGTGTGTTTGTTTGACAGTCTGATATGTTTTGCTATGTATATATGGATCGATATTCCATTATAATTAGCCAATCATGTTAAGACTGTCTATTGATTTGTTCATTTTGAATATTCGCTCACACACTTGTGTTCACACACTTGTTCGGACATTCATATATATTTTGCTCTCACACTCTTGTGTGACATTTTGATTCTCCTTGTGTTTGGAAAATAGAAGTATCATCGCAAACCTAGTGGTCTTCTGATTTCAGTCTTTCATGCGTCAGGACTATTAAATTCTCGACCAGTACATAACAGAGAGCTTATTGACAATTGTGGAGACAGGTAAAGAACACTGCAGACAGTAGGATGAAATAGTGATATGCTGTTAAAGTCCTTTTTTCAACTCGGAACCTAAGGAAATAGTCGATAAATACATAAATTACCAGGAGTGGTGATTTTCTCCCTACTGAATCAATAACGCATAACCTATCGTTTCAAAAAACCAAAGTGTTATGCACCATACTACTGGCCACGAAAATCATTCATTTTGCAGTTCAGATTATTCAAATTACACATCTGAAAAAGTCGCATTTATTCAGTGAGTTAAAGATGATTATAGAAATGAATATTTTCAGCTTAGGCTATGGACTTTCTAAATGAACTAATCTATTTATTTATTTAGTTTAATTTTAATTTATTTAATTTCCGTTGCATTTTTTAGGTTTGCCGGTAAACTGTAGTGAAAAATTAATAGATCAGTATGCTCAAGGTATGCTTTCACATTAAGAATTAACGATATATTCATGAAAATAACTGTACTTATTCTCATAGGTCTATGCTCTAAAGAAGTGAATCATTTAGAAGAACTGAAATTAATCAAATACGATTCAGAAAATAATGAAATTAATGCAACGGGTAACGAATTAATCGAAAAAAGAGAACTAAAGGGAATTATGTTTTTCAAAGGTTACTGGTTACTGAACAAAGAATATTCTTTTCGATAACCTGCTCTTCATCAAGTTCTACAGTTATATGCATACATAATAGTGAATGAAGTGTTTCGGGAGTTCAGGGGTAAAGCGTTGTCCGACCTTGAGCGTGGTCCGGGGTTTTGAGTCCCGGCCGGCGCACTCCTTTACCTGCCTTAGCTAGACAAGGTTGGGTGTGAGGCTAGCTACCCGGCCCTGTAAAAAACACCACTGCTGCTGAAACTTCAAAGGCTTGAAGTCCTATGTTCCACTGGGAACGTAAAGGAATCGAGAAAAAATAGTGAATGAATGAATTAGTGTCATTAACAGCATTAATACAGTTTAAATAACATTGAATCGATGGTAATAATATCAATGGATTAGAGTTCAATGGTATCAACATAAAATAAGCTGAATTTCAGAAAAAAATAGGAAAGATAACACAAATTCATGAGTTTATAGTCTACTGAAGGCCTGCCAGGGCAGTAGTAGTGGTTGGACTTTCTTCTCCTACACGCAGATCACTGGTTGTTTCACGCGAATTGTGATAGCCTTTGCTGTTTTGAACATTTGGTACCTGGATGTTTGCGGCAATTTATTTGGTACCCAATAGATGATAGAGAGGGATTCTTCAATACTGTCTGGCTTTGTGGCCGGTTTGGACCAGATAGTCTAATATAGAACTGTTGATAATTTTTACTATATCTTTACTTAGCCATACTGGGAGATGTTCTCGAGCACTACTGCCCTGACTGGCCTTCAGTGAAGACTATAAATTCATGAATTCTGCATCATTGTCTTTCCCAATTTTTCTGATATTCAGTGATATTTTAACAAGAGAAGACAATGGCCAGGCAACAGATCGTTTATTAAGGAAATCAACACGTTTTTATGTATTTTCATGTACATTAATGTAGATTATTGTTATCAGACTAACACGGTCTTCTGATTGGTTGTTGTTTCTCACAGAAAGTTAATCTTTCATCTCTTTGTGGCTGTTTCTTGAATGTCAGATCATCTATATGTTAACTGTATGCGTCTACGCAAAGTCTGCTGTGATTGGTTGTTGAATCAGTCTTTGTTCATATTTTCTCACGACCAATATTGGGGACATAAACATTGACGTAAATTAATGTCTACCAATTTGGCTAGCAGCCAGCTCTCACCACAATATTATTATTGATTCGATATTGCTTAAACAACATCAGTGGTGTTAATAACACTAATTCATTCACTACTATTATGTATATATAAGTGTAGAACCTGATGAAGAGCAGGTTATCGAAAAGAATATTCTCTGTTCAGTAAGCATTCTTTTGAAGAAGATTTTAATACGCATTTTTTTTATCAATTATGCATTTTTTCCTCGAAAGAATTAGGTGAATTAATTTATAAACATAACTTGGAATTCGATACACTTACGCAAATGTATGAGTTAACTGGAGATGAAACAACTGAAGATTTGGTAATTCACTGTCTTTTGCTTTTTAACCTGTTTTATATTCTTTCACTAGCGTTTCTGTTATCATTTATTTATTTTTGGGGGCCACCTGACTGCATGGCTTGGAATACCAGTTACCTCTCTATCTCAACTTCATCGACTTTGAAACGGCCTTTGACAGCGCAGCGTCGATCGAGAGGTGATTTGGCAACTAGTTCGTTACTACGGGGTGCCACCGAAAATTATACATCTCATCCAACAGTTGTACGACAATGCTGCATGCCATGTAATCCACAACGGAAAACTTACGGAATCCTTCGAAGTGAAGACAGGAGTAAGACAAGGCTGCCTGGCTGCCTACTATCACCAATGATTTTCCCGATTGCAGTAGATTGGATAATGCGACAATCAGCGGGAAACAGGCATAAAATGGACCGACACAAAAAAGAACTCGTAGGATCTGGACTTCGCCGATAATATATGTCTGAGTTCCCAGAAATTGGAAGATATGCAAGTGAAAAGCAGCAAGTTGGCAGAAGACGCATCCAGAGAAGATAGGAGTTCAGGTGAACATCGAGAAAACAGAGGTGGTGAAGATTCCTGGCCAACAACAACAGACAACAATCAACTAGCATAATTGAGAGGAACTTGAAAAAAATCGTTTACCTATGTGGAAAGCATCGTTTCAACTACAGGCGGACGGAACTGATGAGGATATCAAAGCGAGGATCGGAAAGGCAAGATAAGTTTTCATTACTCTCAAGTCTGTGTGGAGGTCAACAGCACTCAGCATGAAAAGCAAGATGAGGATTTCCAACTCCAATGTGACGTCAGTGCTACTTACTACACGGATCAGGGACTTGGCGCGTTATGAAGAGCACCTCAAACAAACTACAGACCTTCATTAACTGCTGTCTTCGCTCAATACTCAAGATCAGATGGCCAGCCAGAAAAGATTAGCATCAGGGATCTCCGGCAATGAGTGAAACAACCAGGAACCAATTGTGCAACAAATAAGCAGGAAGAAATGGAAATGGATTATCTGGCCATCCTCTGAGAAAACAAACCACCAGGTGATATCACATGACAAGCTGTGTAGTGGTACCCGAACGGGAAGCGGCAAGTTGGTCGTCAGTGTGAGGTTGACATGGAGGAGGTCATGTGAAGAGAAGGTGAAAGCATGTGGCCAGACTTGGAGCCATATGAAAACTATAGCAGAGAACCGAACGCAGTGAAGACGCGCGGCTGAAGCCTTATGTTCCTCTAGGAATTAAAGGAAATCGTAATAATCGTAATAATAACCTTACTGCATCTTTAAATGGCATTTGCTTAGACTGTTTTCAATGTTATTTTTTAAAATGTCATTTTAACTAAAGCTTTAATTATTTTCTCCAGACACCTATTACTTCGACATAAAGAAGTTAATTGATTTAAATTAATGTTATTATTATTATTTAAGATAGTTGGGGAACTCTTTTTTCATATAAGCAGTTGCATCCTAACAAATATCCAGTAGTATTGCTTTGACAAATATGAATAATATTCAATATCCCCTTAATTTTTATTTAGTAAACAACGTTAAGAGATCCGATTTTGTAACAACAGAAGACAAAGGCCAGGCAACATATCATTTATTGAGAAAATCACCTGATTTTTATATATTTTTATGTACATTATTATTTGTTATTATTGGCAGAGAAACAGCGTCTTCTGATTGGTTGTTTTATCACTGAAAGTTAATATGTCATCTCTCTGTCGCCATTTCTTTGATGATCAAACCATGTATCTGCGATTTGCATCCACCCTCCTTACGTCTTTGTTCTTGTTTTTTTCTCATGACCAAGATTTGGGACGTAACCATTGATGTAAAAATTGCTGTCTACCAATTTTGGCTAGCAGACAGTTATCACCACAATTTGAGGTCATAAATTAATGGTGAACTGTAATACCAATAATAATTTTTTGGTAAATTAAATCAGGAAGTAATGAAAATTGTTTAAAGATAAATAGGTGTTCTTAGATGGTGGCACAGTGGTTAAGATTCTCGCCGACCATGCACATGGTCCGAGGTTAGATCCCCCACCGACGCACACCTGATATCTATGGTCGGCCTGCAAAATTTGGGCTACCGATATCCATGTTGAAAATTCCATACTTGTACCAAAAATACAGTGTGGAATCAAGCTGTAATAAAAAAATAAGAACTGTTGCTACTGAAACTTCAAGCCCTATGTTCCAGTTGGAACGTAAACGAATAAAAAAGAAGCAGTTGTCAGCAAGGCATATCTGCAGTCTTGAAGGGACTCGTGTCCTTTCTTAGATTCGAACCCGTGTCATCTAGTGCTGCAGTCAGAGACTAGACACATCACATTAGTTAGTGACCCCTCCAGGAGGTCAATCACGAGCCCGGATAGTTTAGTGGTAACATTCTGACTGTAGTATTGGCTGACACTAGTTCGAATCTCAGAAAGGACAGGAGTTTCTCCAAGATGACAGATACGCCTTGCAGGTCCAAGGCGCTTTCTTTCGATTGCCGCATGCAACCATCTAATAACAACAATTCTGAGTGCACCATGATGGCGTGCCACCCAACATGATGGCCACATTTCAAGCTTGACTGATAGAATTTAGTTTACAGTAGAAACAAAGGACAAGAAACATGATACTAGTTAGTGACTAATCGAAGTACTACATGGGTGTAAAATGCTATAATTTTGGTGACATAAATAAATGATTAATAATAGTAGTAGTGGCTATGACTCAACTGAATTCCCACAGAAGTATCACAGTTAAGATTTCTGCACTTCAATAAGACACACACCCTTCTGGTAGAGAGAGAAGAAAGCATCCCTTAGATTTTGATGAACAGAAGTGTGTGACTCATTTGATCTTTACGATAGGCAATGCTGACCGTCACGTCAAGGTAGCGGCTATCGATTAGGCATAATGTCTGTAAGTGAATAAGAAAATATTTCAGTTATAGGTAGAATTACTTTCGTAAAACTCCTTTAATTATATTATAAAATATATTATTCATAAGAATTATTATAGAAGATTTGATCTTAATACGAAATCATTCTCCAAAAATCACAATGATTTTACAAATGACTCATGCTGATTATTCCACTTTAGTGATGACTAATAGAATCCTATATGAGCTGACATTGGTTAGAGAACCATTGGAAAACCAACTGCGAGTACTGGACAGCTGTTTCGTCCTAGTGGGTGGGTGCGTATTATTTATTTTTTATTTTTGATTACAGCTTGATTCCACACCGTATTTTTGGTACAGGTATGTAATTTTCAGCGTGGATATCGGTAGCCCAAAATTCACAGGCCGACCATAGATATCAGGTGTGCGTCGGCGAGGGCTCGAACCCGGGACCATGTGCATGGTCGGCGCTAGTCCTAACCACTTTGCCACCGACGCAGGGGAAACAGCTGTCCAGTACTCGAATGTTTCTCTAACCAATGTCAGCTCATGATGAAATCCTGTAGCCTATCAAATCCCTACAAACCAACACCTAAGAATCCTATATATATATATATATATATATATATATATATATATATATATATCATCAGAAAGCTAGTTTACCATCATTTAAAAGGAAATTGTTTCTCACTACTCTGAAGGATCACTTTTTAATTCCTTTCGCTTTCAGTGTGAAACATAGGGGCTTAAGTTTGCAGCCTTGAAGTTTCTGTAGCAGCGGTTTTATTCTTTTTTTACGAAATGAGATTTTTAATCACACGCCAAGTCTTCCATCTTTGTCGGACTTACTACTGACTAAGCGAGGTTTAGGAGTGCATCGAACTTTGGACCATGTGTGTTGGTTAGTTGGCGAGTATTCTGCTGCTGAACCGTCGTCACACCCCCGGAAGATAGAGAGGAAAAATTATCAACATGAGATCCAGCACTACAACGTGTTTTTTTAAGAAGTTACATTTTAATAGCTCAGCTATAGATAGCACTACATGCAATTACAAATAAACATACAATAGGATGGGATAAGATGAAAGTCTTAAAATCTAATATATCAGTGTGGAGGGAGAGATTGATAATGGAAACTTTAATTTATCGAATCAACTGACAAATACGCTCAATAGAGATGATTCAAAACCTGTCTTAGATATCCAGAAAATTATGCTACCCCCACGACGAATAGGAAGGAATAAAGGAAACTGATATGATTATGAACAATGAGTTGTATTCACAGCGTCATCCAGCAAACAAAACTGTTTCATTCAGTGTGATATATCTAATAAACAAATTATATACTACCACAGTGCCCACGTTTTACACACATTCGTATTTAGAACAATTATTTCCTATTATGAATTTAGATAAAACAATAAGAAGACGTAATTTGTCTGAATCGTGCATTGTGTATTTGCGCACAACACATTTCGAACAATCTGATCCATCGCACACGGACTTGTCATAGGAATATATAATGAAATTAATAAAGAGTTAGGAGATGAGAAAATAGATCACTTAGGTTAAGTTAAAAGAATATGTTCAAGGTTAAAATAACAATGGAGATCACTAAACCAAATAACAAACGTAATAGTACATGTGTTATGGTATCAAAACAAAGTTTAACCAAGAAAGGTTTAGGGTGATGACGCATTGTTTTTGAACTCACTAAGGTGGTTCAAACATCAAATTGTCAGGGCTTCTACAAACTTCAGGATACGCCCCAAACACATTCTATGGATAAGTTGTAAAGATGTGTAAACATCAATTCTATGTCCTATCTCTCTATATTTCGCATTAGAGGAGCTAGGTCACCTGTTCGCACCCCCTAATGGCTTCTGGAGACTCTATTTGCTTCTGAAGCTAATGTTGTAATAATATAATCGGTGTTCTCTAGGAGGTAAAATGAAAACCTGTGTTTATGCAATATTCGAATCAGTTGCCTTGACGCCTTGGTTAGTTAAGATATCAAATACAGTTGCTAATCGATTGATTAATCCACTGAAATTACCAGACATTTTGATCAGATGTCATGTGAATGTGCGTCGGTGGCACGGAAGTTAGGACTCTCGCTGACCATGCACATAATCCGGGGTTCGATCCACTGCCGATGCACACGCTTATATCAATGGTCAGCCTGCAAAATTTGGGCTACCGATATCACATGCTGAAAATTCCATACTTGTACCAAAAGTACGGTGTGTAATTTATTTTTTAGTTTTTATTACAGCTTGATTCCACACTGTATTTTTGTTACAAGTTTGGAATTTTCAACATGGATATCGGTAGCCCAAATTTTGCAGGCCGACCATAGATATGAGGTGTGAGTCGGCGGGGGACCGAACCTCGGACCATGTGCACGGTCGGCGAGAGTCCTAACCGCTGTGCCACCGACGCACACGGCTATGATAATCAAGCTATAATAAAAATAGAAAGAAAAATAACTTTTCCGCGTGACATTACCACCTAGGTCTTTTTTTTCAACCACCACGGGTTAAAGTATTCTCAGATAATATTGAATTACATGTTAAAACAGTACCTAGGTTCTGCGGCTTGTCTATCATGAAATTGTATGAAATAGAAAATATTAAATATATGCATGTATTTTTTCTCTAATTTTTAGTTATATTTTATTGCCAATTGTCCAGAAATAAAAGACATTAGACTAAGGCATTGTGAAAAGTCAGCGTTGAATAATATAAGCAGAGCTAAAGGCAGATTTAGTTTACGGTAAGACAAGTGAATTTTTTCTTTTGTTCACAATATTTATTGTAAATTCTTCGTAATAGTGAACAAAATAATAGCTAAATTTTTCCGTATATGTGTATATTTCGAAATAATAGAGATTTAAAAAAAAACTCTGATGAAGGCTTTTTGGTATTTGTCGTGTTTTCTGTATTGTATGGTTTAATTACGAAACTTTCTTCGATTTTTGAGATAATAACTTCAGTGCTTCAATGCGACCTTCTGTCTGCCTGTCTGTTTTCGACATAGAACTTTGCACAAATGTGCGGAAGTTCAAGTCGCCACACTCCGTGTAACACGCGAAGCAAGAGAAGAAAGTACAAGAAAAGCATAATAGAAACAGTGAGCAGAGGTGTGAGACAAAGGAGTAATAAAGAAAAACAAAACAGTTGCATTGGAGATCATAAATCACAAGGAGTGGATGCATCTGCGTCACTGAGAACGATTTTGAGCCATGTCACCAATTGTTTCCAACCATAGATTTTTACCGTCCCGAGGACCCCAGCCTGGAAGTCTACACCTTCCTACGTGGCTTAGACCAACTGTTGTGGATTTCATTGACTGGTGAGGCCAAGTTTTTGTTTGACCGCCGCTAGCTTTTTTCCAGCCTGAACCTATATCCGCAAACATTGCTCGTCGAGGGAGGCGATGGCTAGGCATACGTAACACATGTCCTAACCATCTCAGTCTTTGTAGCTTCACGACTTCGTCGATTGATTTCCCCTGTTTACCTAGAACTTGATGCCTAACCTCCATGTTGCTCACCTTATTATGCCACTTTACACGGGAAATAGAGCGCAGGCGCCTATGATCAAAGACAGCTAGTCTTTTCATGTCTTCCACTCTCAGTGGCCAGGTCTCACAGCCGGCCATAAAGGAGGACGGAGCGGACTGATGAGCAGTACACCCGCCCTTTGGTCGATAGTCGAACATCTCGTCTACGCCAGAGTCGGCGTAAACTGGCAAATGCGAAACGAGCCCCCTCTCTTATAGATTCGCCTTGACTGAAATATATGCAATTTCTACTGGAGCTGGCTGTGATTAGTTATCTAAGTAGATTTTTTTTAACTCTGTACTCGCTCTTGTTGATAGTGATCCTTTCGTTGACTTGATATTTGACCTTTTTTCGTTGTGTGACTTATTCTTTATTGATCAATGAATTTGATCTATATCAACATGTCAAGTATCGGCATTTCAGTGATAGAGTACTTACCAACCACCCACATGGTCTGGCATTTTATCCCCGTCTGACTTACTCCTTAACTTGGCTTAGCCGGTGGTAAATCCACCAAAGAGGGAACGTTGGGAGTGAGGCTAGTTAGTAATCCCACCCCATAAAATGACGAATCCACTGCTAGTGAAACTCCAGAGATCAAACTGGAATCCCTGTATTCCACTGGAAACACAAAGTAATAAAATAATATAAATTTAAAATATTTTAGCGAATCTGTTATAGTTGTAAGTTAATCTGCAGTGATTATTTGCTAAAGCTCATTCCACCTTAAAGTCAGCACTGAAGATTTTCATACATTTATTCCCCTTAATGAATTTGAACAAAACAAGATCTACAGTTTTAGCAGAATAAATTGGTACCATCTTTTATTTCGTTGCCTTCTCGTCATCTGTTTGCAGGGCAAAGACATTATTAAATATACCTAGAAAAACTATTTCAAGATATTTTCACAGAGTTCATTTTAAACAAAAATCAATGGATCAATATACGCATACACTAATAATAATAATAATAATAATAATAATAATAATAATAATAATAATAATAATAATAATAATATATATATATATATATATATATATATATATATATGCAATATTAAACATTATTGCGAACAATACTAATAATACACAATGGAAACTTTTAGCATTTCGCATTCGGAAGAAAGAGAGGTGTAAATATCCAGTTACCAGGTTGGCAAAGAAAGACTGATAACCGCTTCTTTCTGGACGCATAAATCAGGTTTCAGGCGCTTGATGGAAATGGCTTCAGCAAACTTAAGGAGAATTGAGCTTTTTTGCCTATTGATAATTTTGAACGACTTTTCGACGTTCCCCTCATGACTAGCGATGGCACTGTTTAAAGCATTTGTTCCCTTTAGACTTAAGCTTTTTTGGTACATGTTTAGAAAATCGTAGATATGCCCTTCTTTCTGTCCTTCCAATGTAACTGCTCCCGCAGATACATGTAAATTTGTATATACAGTTGGAGTTAACATGAGAAGGATATCTGTCGATTTTTGACTGCACCAAAGAGCAAGTTGCTACAGTATAGGCTATGGCTAGTGATTTTGTCCAGAGAGACATTGAAAACGCCACAGTTAAGCTATCCACCTTAGAACAACAACACTGAGAAAGAATTTCGTGAGACGTTTTGACAGTAGAGAACAGATGAGAGGAAATAAAACAGACATTATGACATCTTATCTAAAACTCAAGCAAATCTGAATAATTATTGCCCCGTCATACAATCTAGTAGTTAACGAGTCTCTTGCGCTAACAAACTTCCCACCTAGCAGATTTCTGAGCTTACTGTCCTAATTGCTGTTCATAACAACAACAAAAAAATGATACCACTGACGCTTGACTCAAGAAAGGAAGAAGGCCTACCACTGAATAGAGAACTTTCCTGTCTCGGATCAACAGTTCAATAAGCCATAATATCAGATAATATAATATATAGAGAGGTTTAAAACAGATAGAATCCATCAACACACTAATTGTCGTAAATATCGGTTGATGATAACAAAACAATTGAACTCTTTTAAAAGTTTATGAAAAAGTAATATTAATGGTTATCACGTGTGTGTAGTTCATTATATCGCGAATAGTTATAGTCTACAATCAGGCCTTGTAACAGGAACGTCTCCGATTCCTAGAGGAACATAGGGCTTCAGCAGCGCGTCTCCCTTGCTTTCGGTTATCTGCTAGATTTTTCACTTAGCTTCAAGTCTGCCCACACGCTTTTATCTCCTCTTCACATGACCTCCTCCATGTCAACCTCACACTGACGACCAACTCGCCGCTTCCTGTTCGGGTTCCACTTGAGAGCTTGTCATGTGATGTCACTTGATGGTTTGTTTTCTCAGAGTATGTCCAATCCATCTCCATTTCTTTCTGCTAATTTACTGCACAATCGGTTCCTGGTTGGTTCGCTCCCAGAGATCCCTGTTACTGATCTTTTATGGTCGGCCATCTGATCTTGAGTATCCAGCGAAGACAGCTGTTAATGAATGTCTGCAATTTGTTCAAAGTCCCTGATCCGTGTGGTAAGTAGCACTGACTTCACATTGGAGTTGAAAATCCGGATGTTATTTTTGATGCTGAGTAGTGCTGTTGACCTGCACACAGACTTGAGAGAAATAAAAGCTTACCTTGCTTTCTCGATCCTTGCTTTGATATCCTCGTCAGTTCCGTCCGCCTGTAGTTGAAAAGATGCTTCCTAGGTGGGTAGGTAAAGGAGGTTGTTTCTTTCAGGTTCCTCCCATTTATGCTGGTTGATTGTTGTCTGTTGTTGTTGGCCAGGAATCTTCATCACCACTGGTCTCTATGTTCACCTGGAGTGAATTCCTATCTTTGATGCTTCTTCCACTGTCAACTTGTTGCTTTTCCTATGCGTATCTTCTGGTTTGTGCGAAATCAGACATATATCATCGGTGAAATCCAGATCCTTCAAGTTTTTTGTGTGAGTCCATTTTATGCCTGTTTCCTCATTGTCCGCTGTCTGTTGCATTGCCCAATCTACTGCAATCGGGAAAATCATTGGTGATAGTAGGCAGCCAGGCAGCCTTGTCTTACTCCTGTCTTCACTTCGAAGGATTCCGTAAGTTTTCCGTTGTGGATTACATGGTATGCAGCATTGTCGTACAACTGTTGGATGAGATGTATAATTGTCGGCGGCACTCCAATCGGGAGAATCGGGTGTATGAAATTCTAGGAATGGATAAATACGATCTGAATGAATCAACAACTGAAAGATAACGGCTAGACTAATGACGGTTCTTAGTGAATGCCTGCAAACTATGGGCAACTAGTCAAGTCATCATGTTCGGATGATGATATTCTTTGAATCACAACTAGAATAACTCATGAACACCCTCTGTGCATACATTTTACAATAAGGCAGGATGAATGACCTAATCCATCTATCAAATAACAAGTAATTATTTTTTGTTATAACGGAGTGTTAGTGATTCCACTGGTTGTTGTCTATTTTGACTTGATTGTATCCCCAGACACGATATTATAGTCAAACTGATCACTTGAAAATCTTCTCCACACGGAGAGAGAGAGAGAGAGAAAGACAAAAAAGTCAGATTTAACTGCAGTTACTGAGAAAACAACACTTTATTATTATTTGCAATACAGAGTATAGAAATACCGTTTCATATCAAAGGGGAAAGTTTAACCACAAATAGCTAATCAATGTCTGACTGACTGCATGACCTTCAATATCCTCTAAAATAAATCAGTCAAAAACTGTCCAGTCAGGTTATCCTGTCAGTGAATGTATCCGTCATGACTTTGCGGCTAACAACGACAACCTATCAGTCTTTAAACCTCCACTTTTTAATAAATTTTCAATTAGTGGACCATTTGGAAGACATTTGTAAGTCAGGGTAGTCTCCATCTGTGATACTGCAAGATTACTGTACTGTCTTTTTCTAAACGACAAGGTTATTTGGAGAACTACAATAGTAATACCAATAATCTTACTCTGGAAATGCTTCACTACAAAATGCAAGATTCTCAGCCTGTTGTATTGCAAAGTATTTACTTCCTGTATAGATTTTTCGAACAGAAAAATAGTTTGATTGCATGGAGGATTTAATCATGAGCTGAAATCAGTTAGAGAACCATTGGAAAACCAACTGGGAGTACTGGATAGCTGTTTCGTCCGAGTGCTTGTGTCTCTTCATCAGTACGCACCCATCGACAGGGTTCGAACCCAGGACCTTCTGGTTACAAGGCCAGCGATCTCGTAGACCATCGAGCCACTTACTTACTTTACTTTACTTCGGCTATCTCCTACGGGAGGATGAGCCGGCTTCATGAACGTCTCGAATCATCGCTGCCCAGGCGCGGCGATCTGAAGCAAGGTTTTGTGATAGGGATATCCAATTCTTGTTCCACATACGGAGTCCGTAGACCGTTTGTAGCCCCAGGCACTCCATATCTGCCTTGACTGTACCAAGCCATGTCTTCAGCTGTCCGCCTCTGCGACATCGCCAAGATGGTAATGGCGAGGGATTTAGAACTGATTTGACCAGATCGTCATCTGGTCGGCGCAGAACATGGCCAAACCACCGAAGGCGGCGTTGTTGGACCAGTACTGGAATTTGGTTGATGTTGTAGCAACGCCGACGCACTTCTTCGTTGGAGAGTTTGTCCTGCCAACGAACATGCAGAATGTACCTGAGACACCAATGGTCTAATACCTCGAGTCTGCGTAAATCTTCCGCGCGAAGAGGCCAGGTTTCACAGCCATACAGCAGAACGGGTCGTATGGAAGCTTGGTAGATCCGAATTTTAGTCCTGAGACTGATTTCTCTCTTGCTCCATAGAACGCTCCTCAGCTGTAGAAACGCATTCCGGGCGTTGGAGATTCGCGCATTCACTTCGTTTTTCGCTTGGCCGTTGGGGAGCATTATGGATCCCAGATATCTGAAGGATGGCACAATTTCAATAGGTGCTCCATTTAAGGATAAGATTTCATCATTGCCGGTGGATGTGTTCGAAAACATTTTGGTTTTGGAAGTGTTAATTTTCAAACCGATAGTAGACGCGAGGTGGTTTATCTGGTCGAGCGCCTGTTGCATATCGGGGAAGTTTTCAGCTAACAGCACGACGTCGTCGGCGAATTCGAGGTCGGTTATGTGAATATCGGGCGAAAGTTGGACGCCGTGGTGCTCGGTTAGGGCGTGCCGCAAAATCCAATCAACTGTGAAATTGAACAGGATGGGGGATGCTGGACAACCTTGCCGGACACCGCTGGTTACCTCAAAAGTGCGGGACTCTTCACCGTTCACTCGGACTCGAGCTTTGGTGTTGGAGTAGTATGACCTGAGCAGGTTGATTAGCTTGGTCGGAACTCCGTCGAGCTCCATTAGATACCAGAGTGCTCCTCGATCAACTGAGTCGAATGCCGCTTGGAAGTCGATGAAGCAAGCAACCGTCGGCTGTTGGAATTTGTCCCTGTGTTCCAAAATTCTTCGCAGTGTGAATAATTGATCAACACAGCCTCTTCCAGGTCGAAATCCGGCTTGATTTGGCCTTGTTCGCACGTGGCGTTCGGCCGCGAAGCGGTTCAGGAGAATGGAAACAAAAACCTTAGCAGCGATATCAATCAGACTTATGCCTCGGTAGTTCTCGCATATTGACCTGTCTCCCTTTTTGTGGAACGGTAGCAGAACTGAGGTGCTCCAATCGGAAGGAATGGTTTCGGACTCCCAAATTGAGCAGAACAGCGAGTGCAGTGCATCGATTAGCGCTGGAGTGCAGGCCTTGTATATTTCTGGGGGTAGACCATCTTCGCCCGGAGCTTTTTTGTTTCTGAGTGTGTTAATTGTTTTAGCTATTTCGGTTGGAGTGGGTGGATCGCAGTCAACTACGTAGGGTGTTGGTAAGTGTCGTATCGGTCGATGAGACGGTTGACCAGCGTCGCGATTGAGTAGCTGCTTGAAGTGTTCGGCCCATCGTTCCATCTTACCATTGGTGTCCGAAATAATTTCTCCTGATGCTGTGCGTAACACAGCATGACTGTTAAGGCGTTTGCCAGATGATTGGCGTAAGAGGCGATAAAGTTTTCCGAAATCGCCTACATTTGTTGCTGCTTCCATGTTAGTCGCCACGTTAGACCAATAGCGATTTCTGTCGTTCCTAGCAGACTGTGTAGCTTTGCGCCTGAGGGAGCGATAAACTGGAGACTTTGCTAGGCGAGCGTCTCTGGCTTGCGAGGATAGAAGCATGGTGTGCTCTGAAATCCAGTCTTTCTGCTTCTTGGATGTGGTACCCAAATGCGTCATTGAAGCTTTAGAGACTACTTCTTTGAAATGATTCCATCGTGTCTCGGGTGTATTAGAAGATGTGGATGTTGGTTCATCTGCGGTGCTTAGTTCGGCCTGGATTTGTTTGGACAAGGCTTGTCGTCTTGTAGAACATTGAAGCGGGGCAACATTGATACGCTTCGGAGGTCGCGCCTTCTGGCGTGTCGTTAAACGAAGTTTGAATTTCGCCCTAACTAGAGTATGGTCTGATCCCCCTTTATTTCCGGCCTCTGCTCCACGATAGGATCGACAGTCTTCCACCGAGGAGATCCAGCGTGAGCGCACTAGGATGTAGTCGATCTGATGTGCAGTGCGACCGTCGTTCGAATACCAGGTGAGAAGATGTTTTCTGGGGTGTTGAAATCGAGTGTTGGTGATATATAATCGATTGTAATCAGAAAAAGATAAAAGTCTATCACCATTACGGCAGCGCTGATCGAGACCGTGTTTGCCTAGTATATGTTTTGTCGCGTCGTCTGAAGGGCCAGTGCGGGCGTTCCAATCGAGCCACTGGGACCCGATCCAATGGTCTTTAGATTCTAACTTCTGCCAGTTCACGACATAGCGCGACCATTTCGTAATGTCTTCTTCCACGAGTTACTGCCTCATGTTCAACCTGCTGTACCCTACTGGTCACGGCTTCCCACAAGAACCCCAGGTTAACTTCCTGAATAGGGCCAGTCGCTATTGAGCATCAGGTTAATTTTTAAGTATTGGTTTTTGTAGGGATTTTTGTTTGATTGCATGGAGAATTTAATCATGAGCTGACATCAGATGAGACAGTAACTCATCGAAGAAGACATTGCGAAGTGGTCGCGCTTGTTGTGAATTGGCAAAAGTTGGAATTACAGACTAGCCATTGGATCGGGTCCCAATGGCTGAATGGTCTACGAGCTCACCTTGTAACCAGAAGGTCCTGGGTTCGGACCCTGTCGATGGGTGCGTACTGATGAAGAGACACAAGCACTCGGACGAAACAGCTATCCAGTACTCCCAGTTGGTTTTCCAATGGTTCTCTAACTGATTTCAGCTCATGATTAAATCCTCCATGCAATCAAACTGAAAAATCCCTACAAAACCAATACTAGAAAAATAGTTGTCGGTAATATTTCATCTGAAGCACGCTCTAATAACCTCTTACACGTTTACTGAGTTTTGTTTTCAAAAAAATCCATGTTGAAAGGTTGAATCCTATTAGGAAAATAGACGTGAGTAAAGATTACATACAGTTCAGAGGTGTAATTGGGGCTAATTAATATATAACAAAATAAAATAGAGTAAATAAGACATCTTTTTTGATTAAATGGAAAATTAGGCATCTGAGTGATTTAAGCAAGCCACTGTATTGTAAATCTCTGTTTGAAATCTTCTATTTTGCTTCTCTTATAGATTTCCAATCAAGTCAAGAATTAAAAGTATCCCGCTGAAAGTTGTTTGCCTGCTACAAGCACAACTAGGACAAGTGACACTGAATGATTATTCATTGAAACAAGAAAGTGAAAAGATTATTCAATCAGCTTCACGTATTTTAAATGGTATGTTTATTTTTTATTCAGTTCTTTTCTTTTTTTGGGGGGGGGCGAGGGGTGGGGAGGGATTTTTCATGTTGCTAAGTTGAATGAGATGACTTAATTCGAAATATTAAATATCATAATAATAATAATATGCATTATTACAAAACAGTACTCATGGTACAGTGTGGAATTTTCAGCATTTGCTACAATTAGTACTGCATCTGATTTTATCGAACAACATTAAGAAGACAATTGCAGCCAAGAAAATTTTCTTTTCGACGAAGTCATCATCTAGGCTGCACATTCGTGTATTTATATCAAATGGTTGGGAAAGTTCCAGAATAATGATTTCCGGTTAAAGGGTCAAATTAATAAAAATTACAATTAGGAATTAGAATGCCATAATAAACAGGGGTATGGATAAAACTAAGAAGATTGACATTGTGCAATTGGGGGTTAGAAATGTAGAAATAAAAAAATAGACAGGATGTTTGGATAGAAAAAACTAATATGGCGAATAATTGTTTATGCAATCAGGGATTAGATATGTAGAAATAGTAAAATGACAAAATAAACACGAAGTTCGGATATGAAAATATGGTAGCGTAAACAGGGATTAAGAAAAACTTTAAAAAAATAATATGAATAAACAGGAAGTTTAGATAAGAAAGGCGATAGGATGGTCACTAAACACTAAAAAAAAACAATTTTTGGGGCTGATATTACAGGATTGCTAATCGCATTACTTATTTGGTATTTGTAGTGACAGTGAAGTCATATGTACACACAAAAAATTGTAAATAAGATTGTCAATTAGTTGAGATAGTGTTACCAAAGATTACAAATACGAGGTAATGAAAGAGCCGATTAGTTTGCTAACAACATAGTAATTCATAAGTTTCACTCTTAACATAGTCTCTAACACATAGAACACCAGCTGGCCAAATATGGTATCTTTGAATTCCTATACTTAATAGTACGAGCATAAACTCTTCTATACTGATTTCTGCTTCTACCAGATGAGATACAAGGCGGGGAGAGTTGAGAATAGATGGGGTGTTGTGGGTCAGAAAATATGGATTTAGACCATTTCTCGCATTAGTTCACATGTCTGTCAACCAATGTAGTAACACGCTGGCTGAGTAAGTTGCACACTACTCGTCTTATTGACAACCTTTAATACCCTTTTCAAAATGATATAGTTTTTTTTCAGTAGCCCAGGGAAGACTAAGCGGGGGGGGGAGGAGTAGTTATGTACAATGGGTGGGAGATGAGTTAACAAACTGTAAAACTAGAGGTCGAGTAATTCCAGATTGTCTTAGCTTCTTAATGTAGTAGCCCAGGCGGAACATTTTCTTGGATATCGACAAAATAAGGGATGACCAAGTAAAGTCAAAGGTATTTCTGCTTATGCATTGTAGTGAACAACTTAAGGAGATGTCTTTTTGTTCTGTGGTTCATAACTTTACATATTCTTTGTCTGATAGATGTATTATGATAAATTTGAAGTTTTAATTCTCTCAGGCTGCTTGTCATAAAGAAATCATCAAGTTTCTGATCAATATAAAAGTTAGTATTTACAGTCTTTTTGGCTGAATGGTTGTTAGTGAGCTCACGTCGTAAGCTGAAAGTCCTCGATTCGATCGATGGTGGTGGCGTGCTTCTGAAGAATTCCAGACTAGAATAAAACAGATGTGCAACACTCTCTAGTTTTCAGTAATTCTCTAACTGATATCAAGCCGTGATCAAAATTGAAAAATCCAATACCTACAAAAAACCCTTAAAGATACCAATGGATTAATCACAGGCGCTGAATAAGCTGAATGACTGATAATCCTAATTTTATAACTAGCTTTTTCCATAGCACAAAATATCTAGTAAAGATGATGATCCGCCCTACGATTCGATTTATTTTCACTAGCAGAGGGAGCCTGAACATGTATCCAGTTCTTTCTGCGACTGCTTAATTCGGTATACCTGTGTGTACTCGTGAGAATCTAACCTAGCACCTATACTTTCGAATTCCCAACTTCTACTGTCTACTATGCTACTGAAGTATGACAACTAACTCTTATCCAAAGATATCAGTTTTTAATTCCTGAAAGTAATCAAATTATTATTATTGTTCCGTTGGGTTCCTAGTAGAAAATACGGCTTCAACTGCACGTCTTCACTTGACACTTCCGTCTTCTGCTGTACTTTTCACCTGCACCCATCCATGTTAGTTCATACTCTTTCAACTCCTCTTCCTATTCACACGATCTCCTCTGTGTCACCCTTACATTGACGTCCCACTCGCTGCTTCCCTTTCGGCCTGGTTCCACTCGAGCGATAACCTGACACGCGCGCGAAGTCACCTAGCGGCCTCCTCAGCGAGTATTGTCCAATCCATCTCCATCCACTTTCTCCGGCATATCTGTTGGTTGGCGGTTGGTTGGTTCTTGTTTTGTTTGTTTGTCACCAGAGTTTCTTGTTGGTGATTGTTTCCGGCCCGACCCGGCCATCTGATCTTCAGTATAGAGCCAGCGAGGACAGTTGTTGTTGATAAAAGTAGGTCTGCAATAGCCTGTTGGAAATATTCTTTGTGACCTGCCCGCCAAGTTTCTGATCCACATAGGAGAACTGACTTGACGTTTGTATTGGAAATCCGACTGAATTTTGTTGTTGATGGTGAGTGACGAAGATTTCCAGAATGGTTTCCGGTTGATGAATGTGTGTGTTTCTCGTCTTCCTGATTCTCGCTCGATTTGACATCCTCGTCCGTTCCGACTTCCTGTAGTTGAGACAATGCTCCGTGGATAAGTGAATGAATGAAGTAACCTCTTTCAAATCCCTCCTGTTGATGTTGATTGGCGCAGGATGTTGGTGCTGCTGTTGTTGTAGTTGTTGGTTGGTTCTTTTCATAACAAATTTTATCGGATAGTTATTTAACATCAACGCTTCTTCTGTTTTATTTCATCATTTAAATTTTTTGATACACTACTTAGTGCTAATGCTCGGTTTGTTAGACACTTAACTGAGCCTGCTTTTACAGATAACGGAGGAGGTGAATTAAAGAAGTGTAAATATCTGAGTAACTTGATATGATTATGAGCAGTAATAATGAATTGTGCTCGAAACGTGTGGTTATCAGTAAATATTACACACTGTACACCAACAAACACTGTGAGACTTTATCACAATGAATTCCATCCACAATATCGAATATCCTATGGTGGTGAGAGCAGCCTGCTAGCCAATTGGTTGACATTAATCTACGTCAATGTCTAGGTCACTAATACGGGCCGTGAGAAAATATAAACAAGGCTGTTTCAACAGCCAATCACAGCAGACTTAAACGTGGGCAAATATGATTCTCAGATAGATGGCTCCACTTTCTGAGGAACTCGAGAACAACCAATTAGAAGACCTCGTTTGTCTACTTGACTAGGCTATAATAATGTATGTGAAATTTATATAAATACATGTTGATTTCCGTAATAAAACGATCTGTTGCCTGGCCCTTGTCTTCTGTTGTTACACTATGTTTAGTTTATATCTGTAATAATAATTGACACTGACAAAATTTAATTCTGTCTCCTTTTTTGTATTTCCAGCTTTAGTAGGCTTATTATGGCTTCATGAAATTCCGACACCGTTAACATTAGATCAACAATTAAACAATTTGAGTATTCCACTAATTGCCTTAAAATATCCATGTATTCTAAATGCATTGGAATTACGTAAATCTATACAATTTGGGCGTTGGTTAAATTTTCCATTGATAAATTTGTACAATTCATCTCTAATGTCTGATAATGAAATTGACAAATTAATTCAAGCAAATATACTTACTACTAGTGCTATACGACAAGCTGGTTGCAAGAAATTAGAAAATGTATGTCTATTTAGTTAATGAATTTGCTTGTTATATATGTCCAAACCAAGTTCACTTTTAATGAATTTTAAAACCACTATCTCAATTTTCTTCTTCGCACTTTTCGGTTCGCTGCCAGCCAGATTTCCAGGTTACTTATCTCCTCTGATGGTCATTTAATCTTCAATGTCTAGCCAGCCAGTGAAGACAGCAGTTGGCGAAAGTCTGCAGTCGCCTGTTGGAAATACTTTTAAGTGACATGTACCGCATCATATCTCTAAACTGTACAGAAGCACTGACTTGACACTGATGCAGAAAATTCAGATGTTGTTGCTTGTGCTAAGTGCTGTAGGTTTTTTGCACTGAGAAGACGTAGTTTATCTGAAACGTGTAATGTATTGGCGTAACACATTTCGGACATTCTGATCACACACGTACTTGTCATACACAGTTTTTATAGAAGGCAAGAAGGCATGAATAATTAAAATACAGGTCAGATTGTGTACAAGTCAGGGTTACAAATAATGTGTAGGGAGACGCGAAAGGTGTGGGTAAGAAAGAGAAAAAGAGAAAAAACACGAGGCAAGGAAGGGGTTGAAAATATTATGAAGTAAATTGGTCCTTGGTTCTAAATTGGATTGGCAAGGCAGGTTTAAGGTGATGACAAATAACTTTTGGACACATAAGACAGGTTTAAGTCTTTTGAGGGCTAAGGCTTCAATGAGTGTAAGTATGTGGCCCAACCTTGTTTTATATATTGGCTTAAGGGCATTGTTGAAATCAACCTCATGACCCGTCTCTATAATGTGTTTTGCTATAGATGATGTTGGACATCTATTTCAGGGGTCAGTTGTGTCTGGCGATTTCATTTGTTGTTGCAGCCACTTTGGAATGTGTTCTGTAGCCCTAACCTTCAGAGACCGATGGGTCCTCCTTAGGTACGTGTCTCCACACATACATACGTGTAAATAGATGAACACAGTGGGAAGGGACACTATCGTTCGGATAATGTGAGGGTTTACAGGACAGCATAATTCTCGTTTTCTCTATGAAGATAAGTTTAGCTGCATAATAGGCTGTATTAATTGCGGCCTTGAGTCTTTGTCTAGTGACTAGACTTTGTCGATCACCTCTGAACGGAAAGGATATGTAAACATCCTTTTTGGCAGCTGATTGGATTGGTAAACCTCTATGGCTGACACTTCCGTAACGTCTAATAAATCTCAGTGGGTAATTGTTATCTAACAATATTTCAGTGAGGTGTTTTCTTTCTTCTTCACTTGTATCAGCAGTACATATATACGGTGAATGCGCTTCAACAAACACTTAACCAACGCCTTTTTATACTGTGGTTGACAGAAATGTGTTGCGCCAATACATTACACCTTGCAGATAAACTGCGTCTTCTTATTGTGTTGTCGAAATTCATAAAGGGAACTTATTGTTTTAAAAACTTTCGCACTGAGTGATTTTAGGGTGATAAACGCCTATTTCACTTTATTGGTTGGAATATAGTTCACTCGCTGATTTACTTTTTGCCATTCTGCATTATTTTCAAGTGTTTGAGGTGTTTTTTTCTTCACTGGTAGTTGAATTTTTGCATTATTTTCTTGTCATCACTGAACCAAGTCGAAGTTTCGTAATATATATAATATTGGGATTCATTTCGAGATTATTATTATTATTATTATTATTATTATTATTATTGTATCCTTTAGTTCCTAGAGGAACATAGGGCTTCAGCTGCGCACCTCCATTGCCTTCTGTTTTCTGACAACTTTTTCACCCGCTCCAGGTCTGTCCACATGCTTTCATCTCCTCTTCAAAACACCTCCTCCAAGTCACACTTGAACGACCAACTCGCCGCCTCCCTTTCGGGTTCCACTCGAGGGCTTGTCTAGTGATGTCACTTGATGGTTTCCTCAGCGCATGGCCAATCCATCTCCATTTCTTTCTGCCTATTTGTTTCACAATCGGTTCCTGATTGGTTCGCTCCCAGAGAATCCTGTTGGTGATCTTTTCTGGCCATCTGATCTTGAGTATTGAGCGAAGACAGTTGTTAATGAAGGTCTGAAGTTTGTTTGAGATGCTCTTTATGACGCGCAGTGCAAGTCTCTGATCCGTATAGTAGCACTGACTTGTCATTTCGAGATGGTAATGCAAAATACAAATGATAACCAAAAAAACAGTAGAGAAACCTGTCATCGGGCTATATAACACATTTGTTAGAAGAATGAAGCGGATTGCAAGAATAAATTTATAAGCATAAAGTTCAAAATGTCTCAATGATATCATCGCAAAGTAAGAACAATAGACATTTTGTGATGGAATGAATTCAACTTCCGTATTAGTTTGTTTATTAGGTGTATCACACAGTGATGAAACAGGATTATTTACTGGATGACACAGTTTCGAACAAAGTTTATTGTTCATAATCATTTCATCAATTGTAATCACACGACTTTGAAACTTGAGTTTTATAGTTTTCTCTGTCCTCTTCTATTTGTCGTCTTCGGGGTAGTAGAATTTTCCAGATATCCATCTGAGACATGTGTTGAATCATTTCTATTACATGTATTTGCAGTTGACTCGATAAACAAAGCTTCTGTTATCAATCTCTCTCCACCCTGCTGTTACAATAGATTTTAAAACTGTCATCTTATTCCATCCTATTGTATAGTTATGTGTAATTGCGTGTAGTGAGTAGTATAGTTGAACTATTCTCTAGATTTCTTATCTTATTCGGGTCAACTAATCTAGATTTTACTAGGCTTTTATGCTCGGCTGGTCTGATTGACTGCCCTGTTCTACTAGTTTGACCTATGTGTGGCCTATGTATAACCTAATATGGAATTACTTACTACAACAGTGCCCAAGATTTACACATATATTAATAATGAATGATGGTTGGAGGTAAAATGCAAATCTGTTTCATAATGGGATTCAAACAATCTACCCTCTATCTGACGCCGTACTAGATGAGCTATGGATTCCAATTTCTCAATGAAATCCCCAAAAGTGTTGCTCACAGGTCAGATTTATATTTGTGCATTAAAATTTTGTTCCTTTCTCTAACAAATTATTGTTTTTAATGATTATCGTACCATACTGTCCTTCATTTTATTTTATGCAGATTTTAAATAGAGAATCTCCGTTTGGATTGAAATTGTTAGAATTCTTGGATAGTATTCCGAAATATGAAGTAGATGTAGAACAGGTAGGTGGCTTGACTTTTTTTTCAATTATTTAATTATACTTGATATATGAAGTAATGGTTTTTAGGGATTTGATCGGCTCAAGGGTTTGACTTAAACAACCTAGTGGTGGATGCACACTGTCGAAGAGTCCTAAACAAGAACGAAACACCTCCCTCTAAGTAATTAGTAGTTTCCTAGTGGGTTTTTTTTCAACTGATGTCAACTCGTGATCAATCCTTGAAAGTTACTTTATAATGGCTGACCATTTGATAAATCAAGTTGGAACATTGCACGAAAGTGCATTAGTTCAAGTTACTATACATTTAAAAAGTACTTTGTGAAGGAAGGGGAAAGGACTGTTAATACGGTCACAGTGAATGCAACAGACAGAATAGTAATGGGGATGCTGAGTAAACATTTCTTGTATTTGAAAGATGAAAAGCAATCAAAACAGATACTCCATTAGCAAAAATTCTTAGATAAATCATTATTATTATTGTTCCCTGGCGTTCCTAGTGGAACATACGGCTTCAACTGCACCTCTCCACTTGCCACTTCTGTCTTATGCTCTACTTTTCATCTGAATTTTATTGTTGATATTTAACAAATGATTCTTATTCTTCTGGGTATTCCCCTTCTCCCCCCGTCCCCCGCAAGTAAATAAATCACAAGTTCTTAAACAGTTCAGACCAACAGTGATTGACGCAATAGATCTGTGCTGCATTTTCCATCCGACTGCCAATTCACTCTTTTCCAGTCTAATGCAATTCAGTCAATGACCAATGGTTAATTGTTACCTATCCAAGAAATAACTGGCTAATTCTTATCATGTATTCAATTCTGTAACACAACTCATATAAATGAAATCTATTTACGTCTATAGAATGAATTCCACACTGATCAAATATGTTCGTTAAGAAACGTTTAAAAGACTGATTAGTGAAAATTTAATTTGTGGATGGTGACTAGAAGTGGAATCCAGGATGCGCATTTCGTCCTATTTGGGACTCGTCAACTGGATGTATTTGCATTTCCCAGCGAGTGATGATGTTCCCACTGAGGCTCGAACCAAGTACCCATAGTTTCAAACGTCAAGGCGTTATCCACTACACCACTTGGGCCACGAGAGACACCTCTGGTGCAACGGGTCATATTAATTATGGAAATGAATTTTAGATTTTCCCGTTGATTGATTGGACCGAAGTGCTCGGTCTCAGGTTTATATGTCGACTTCTTGTGCAGGTGCTTCGACGATGTCTGGGCATTTAATTAGAATTTAGTTAGTGGATGGTGACTAGTGAACAAATAATACTCCTTTCGATAACTTCTGTACTATCAGGTGCTAAAGTTATATGTCCGTAGAGATTGAAGGACTATTCTTATGTTAATAGCAAAATTAATGCTGCTTAAATAGCACTGAATCGATAATACCAAAAGATTACGGTTAAGAAGCTTCAGTAAGAGATAATACGCTTAAAATTATAGTACTATTCTGAATTTAAGATAAACTAAAGACGCCTAACATCATCAGAAGCATTTCATATCAAGTGGAATCCGAATTTTCTGAATAAGAATGATGGACTAAAACAGAATTTGACCTGGTAACAACACCTCCCACCCCTCCCCCACGAAGTGACAAAATCAACACGAATGTGATATGCAAGTTCACTATTTAAACACACACTACTTTTATAATGTTACACACTGATCGAATCCAACAATATACATTTGGCTTTGTTATCTTTACCAATTGACTAACTTGACAACGAAAAATGACCCCAGACTGACGAACGATGATCAAGTTAGTAAACTTTATTTTGATATCATAACAGATGTACTATTACCTTTGTTATTTGGTTAAGTGATATTCTTTGCTATTTTGACTTTCAATATATCTTTTTAACTTGACCTAAGTAGTCTATTTTCTCACCTATTAACTCTTTGTTACATTTATGCTGAGATTTTGTAAATTCCAGTTTAATAATACTTTGATAAAGGTATTAGCAGCAGCATTAAATAGCGAAACGTCAGTAAACCCAACAATATCGTTTTGTTTTTCATTCATTGGGAAATGCATAATAAACCTTTATTATAATGAATATCGTATACGCAATGCGCAAATTTTTTCAAACTGTTAAGAGTGAACTTGGTTTGGACATATATAAAACAAATTAAGGGAACTGACAAAGAATTTATAAATTTATAAACTTAACAGCAAATATCAATGTAGCCTGGACATCTTTCTTCTGTACACAGAGCTCTGGCTGATTTAAGAGAATTGCAATAACCTCTGATATTTGGAGTGTTCGTCAGTATCTAGAGGCCTTTGGTAATTTGTTCATTATCCAGTTTAGATGATGCAGAAAGACTCTTTAATGCCAGCTCGTTTTGTGGCGTGTTCGGACAAGGTGATCTAATATCTAACTGTTGGTAATTTCAAAAGTGGGTGTTCTCGAGCACGGAAATATTAAGTCCCTAGAACATAGGCCGAAATAACTGGCTCCATAGGAAGAGCTGAATTGATCGATACATATAGAGGTGGCTAGGCTAGGTACCTTATCTTTCAATTTGGGAATCACAACCGGTTGTTTAGAAATTATAAGCTGCAGTCCACTGGCATTAAAGGTCCTTCTGATAGATTTTCTCAGGTTGTTACTTATTATTTTACTTAATATATCACCTCTGAATTGTATATATTATTATTATTTATTATTATTGTATCCTTTAGTTCCTAGAGGAACATAGGGCTTCAGCTGCGCACCTCCATTGACTTCGGTTTTCTGACAACTTTTTCACCCTGCTCCAGGTCTGCCCACATGCTTTCATCTCCTCTTCACATGACCTCCTCCAAGTCACCCTTGGACGACCAACTCGCCGCCTCCCTTTCGGGTTCCACTCCAGCGATGGGTTGTCTAGTGATGTCACTTGATGGTTTCCTCAGCGTATGGCCAATCCATCTCCATTTCTTTCTGCCTATTTGTATATATATATATATATATATATATATATATATATATGCCATGGACTGTCGATATCAGTTAGTAGACTTTTAAGTTATTAAAAGTTCAAAATTCAGATTTTCAAAACAAAACGGATCAGAAACTTGGCGGGCGGGTCACAAAGAATATTTTCAACAGGCTATTGCAGACCAGACCTTCATCAACAACAGCTGTCTTCGCTGGATCTATACTGAAGGTCATATGGCCGGGTCGGAAATGGTCACCAATAAGAAACTATGGGAACAAACAAACACAACAAGAACCAATCGCCAACCAATAAATATGTAGGGGAAAGTGTGTGGAGGTGGATTGTACACTACTCGCTGAGGAGGCCGCTAGGTGACATCGCGCGCGCGTCAGGCCATCGCTCGAGTGGAACCAGGCCAAAAGGGAATCGGCGAGTGGGACGTCAATGTAAGGGTGACACGGAGGAGATCGTGTGAATAGGAGGAGGAGTTGAAAGAGTATGGACTAACATGGATGGGTGCAGGTGAAAAGTACAGCAGAAGACAGAAGTGGCAAGTGAAGACGTGCAGTTGAAGCCGTATGTTCTACTAGGAACCCAAGGGAACAATAATAATAATAATAAAATCATTCTAAATAACTTAATTATCCTAGCTTGTTTTATTTTCTGTGTTATACATTATGATTGTGATGTATAAAATTGTAGTAAATGATTTTCTCAACACTCTTAATCCTTCAGCTGCCAATTAGAGGTCCATTCACTATTGAATTAGTACTTACAATAAAACAAAGTGTAAAAGGTGCAAAGGATACTGCGATCTTATTGGTCGGCGATGCAAATAAATACTTACTCGGTAAATGGTTATTAGAGTAAGTGACTTTGAGTTGTTTTTCGTTTTGTTTAATTTTTTCTTCTTTGAATACATCAGGATCAAAATTCTGAATATTATTCAGTTAAAGTATATTTTTATTTGCCTGTGTTCTCTGAGGAGCTGGTTAATTTAACTTAGAAGCTTTTGTCGTCCATCTAGACAAACATTTTCAACTCAGGCTTTGAAAAAAACATGGAAACTTTTTGATGCCAGGTGGCTCGCCATTACGGTGGACTGTGAATTGCATCTAGGGCACCTAGTGGCATGGTGGTGACATTGCAAGCTTGACTGACGATAAAATTCAGTCTGCACCAAGCAGAGGACTAGACGTATTACACTAGTTCCTGACTAGTGTTCAATCAAAAAATATCCAGTACAGTCCTACAAGAGGTCAGTCGCGAGCCCGAATATCTCAATGGTAATATCTCTGACTGCAGTACTCACTTGGTGACGCGGGTTCGAATCTCAGAAGGGACATGAGTTCCTTGCTGACTACTGAGTGCCAACTAATACGAATCCTAGGTCGAGCAAGGCTTCCTGTGGCCGATTGCCTCCAACCATTTAATACAGGGAAACTTTTTGATTTCTCCATGATTCCTGATATATTTTCATCTCTGTTGACAAATGTTGTTGTGATTGTTTGTTAATTCGCATCTGTATTTACTTAGGATCTGAACTTTTCTGCCATGTGATTTATTCTCTGTTAGTTGGTAGATTGGACCCATAGTAATCCGTATGTTAGTCGCTGATTCATCTGAGTACCAGCCTTCTAGGAATTTCCTGACTGCATTTGTGGCGTTTATACTGTTTAAAAAATTTCTACATTCTCCTAATCAAATTGATGTTCATAATTGTCTATCTGCCTTGAAATGAAAGAACGCTTATTGTTTCTTTTCACGGTTGATTTATGTTCTTCGATTCTGAGTCGATGGAGATTCCTACTTTAAAAAAATGTAGTGTTTATCGCAGTTTATGTAACCTGTTATGTAAATGATATTGATCTTGCCTTATTTTACTGTTGAGTTTTTTCGGTTTGCTCAGTATATAATGAAGTCATTGTGTTGGTTTGTGTGTTATGTCTATTTCAAGTGATTTTAGTATTCTAGCCGTTATTTCAGATATAATCTGCATTAAATTGTACGTCAATATGGCAACTCAAGAAGGTTAAAATTCATCAAATTGGAAACTTGCTTAGTGAGATGAGCCTTGGTAGAAAGAAGGTAGAAGAAGAATTAAGCTTTGTTGAAAAATGCTTTAAGGAAAATGGGTATCCAAAGGGATTCATCCTAAAGTACAACAGAGAAAAAGATGAGGAAGCGAAGTATTCAACAGTTGAAAAGAAGAAAGTGGTTATTTACCTCCCATACATAGGAGAAGCGGTATCACAAAAAGTTGACAAAAGGGTGAAAGTAGCAATAGAGAGATGTTTTGCTGCAGCTAAGGTGACACTATGCGGTACTACATGCTCTATAAGGCAATCGAAACTGGATAAGTACGCTGCTGATGTTAACTCCAACTGCATTTATAAATTCATGTGCACCCGTGGCACCAAGCACATTGGATGGACAAAAAGAAGGGCTTCTATCCGGTTTTCAGAGCATATTCCAAGAACCTATGCTTAAAAGGAAGCCGATATTTACGAAGTGCAATTACCAAACACCCACCTTGTGGATACGGGTCATTTTGTTGAGATTTACAAATCCTTCAAAATATTAAACATACAAAGGGCAGCCAATTTACTACGATTTGCCGAAGCAAATGCAATCAAACGTTTCAGACCAAACATATGGACACAGAAAGAGAGTTTAATTTAATCTCTCACTCCCTTGGTTGCCGTATTACTTTCACCGAAACTAGTGAGATCAGCTCACTGAGCAAGTTTTCAGTTTGAGGAACTTTAACCTTGTTGAATTGAATTTTTGATTTTCCCGTCGATTGATTGGACCGAAGTGCTCGGTCTCACGTTGACATGTCGGCTTCTTGTGCAGATGCTTCGACGATGTCTGGGTATTTAATTAGTATACAATTGGTGGATGGTGGCTAGCAGTGGAGTTGGCATGTTGACCTACAAGCTAATACTGTTTATTAGATTTTTCTGTTTTCTGTCTTCTCTCATAGTTTGATAGCATATAAATTGATGGTAACTTAAACTAAAAATAATTGTAATACTTATATTCCAGACGCGTTCACCTTATAGTGTTTTCGCTATTACCTTTCAAACAATGAAGTATGAAGTGTTATTATTTATAACCATTGTAATATCAGGTAGTTTGCAGTTAGTTGATGAGAACCTGTGAAATAAAATGATAATATCATACGTTATACTGCAAATCTGGTCTTTCTTTCTCCATCGAAATTTATCAAGGGAACTAAGTGTATGAAATCTTATATATATAGTAGAATGAATTTTCTTGTGATTTTTTAGGATGGTTTCTTATTGATAGTTCGGATAGAGTTTAGACATTTTCCGGTAAGATTGTCCGGGTATTCATCTCTTTCTTTCGAAAACAGAAGACATTTCTTTTCCATTCTCCGACGATGACATAAGGAAAGTTGTGTGAGGAGAAAAAGAACGCTTGTGGGTGTAATACATGCAGATTAAATCTACTATCTCCAACTCATTCTTTTTCATTCAAGTGTTGGTTTCTAGGGATTTGATTGGTTACTGGATTTCATCATGAATTGACATCGGTTAGAGAGCCATTGGAAAACCAACTGGACAGTACAAGTTTGGAACTGTTCATCAGAACGCACTCACCGAGATTCGGACCCAGGACTTTCTGGTTACAAGGCGACCTAGCTCGTAAACCATTCAGCACTGGGACCTGATCCAATGGCCACCCCATGAATTCTAACTGCAACCGATTCGTGATGCATTTAGCGCGACCACCAACCAATGTCATCGGTGGGAAATCCATCCTCACACACTTGACTGGATGGACCTGAGTGGTCATGAAATCTCACTGGAACTCCAGGAAACTCCATCCTGTAGCCGGTCACTAGCGAGCATCAGATTAATTTTCTATAGCTTGATTTGTGAGGATTAGTTTTGTTTTTACGAGTTGATAACCGTTTTCACTGGTTTTTGATGATTCTCTAACTGATATCAATCCGTGATCAAGTCGTAAAAACAAAACTAATCCTTACAAACCAACTATAGAAAATTAACTTAAAAAACTTAGTAGTGAGTTCAACTCAGTAGGTGAAAATCAAAATTAAGTGAGATGTTAGACAGCAGAATGAAACACACTCAAAAACACTCGGACAAATCAATCACAATTACCAGGATAGTAAGAGCTTGATCACATTATCCTTTCGTCCACAGATGTCAGATAGAAATATTTCAATAGTGATGGCTTCTGTGAAACGAATTAACGATATTTAGACTTCCAATCATGCCATCCTATGTCAGTGAAAATAGGATTGGTGAAATGTATAAGTAATAGAGCACAAAAACTAAGTATTACCAAAAGAAAATCTAAGACAGGAAGTGAGACATATAAGGGAAGCTTTGAAACTTATTAATTACCCTGATAAATTAGTCGGAAAGTGTACAGGGATATGTAAAAATAAAATAAATAATGATAGCAGTGATAGTGATAATAATAGTAATATTAATGATGACATCCATGCCAAACATGCGCAAGACATTATTGACAACACTAATAATAAGGAATCTAAATCATCAGTAGTAATTCCATACAAGGAAGGAATCTAGGAAACCAGCTTACGCAGAATTCTTAACAAGGCAGGAATAAAAGTGGCTGGCATTCAATCCCACAAACTCAATCGGAAACAAGCTTTGTAGGTTATAGAATGAATACTGTGGAGTCTTTAAAACAAAAAAAATTTAGTTGATGAAATACCCTGTCTGCAATGATTGTCAGGTCAAATGCATAGGTCAAACTATTAGAATAGGGTCAGTGAGTCAGACTAGCTGAACATAAAAACCTAGCAAAATCTAGATTGGTTGACGCAAATAAGATAAGAAATCTAGCGAATATTTCAGCTATAGCCCTACATGCAGTTACACACAACCATACATTAGGATGGGATAGGATGACAGTTTTAAAATCTAATGTGACACGGGGGTGCAGGAAGAGATTGATAACGGGAGCTTTGTTTATCTAATCAACTCAGAGAGAATACGTGTAATATGAATTATTCAACACCTGTTGCAGACGGATATCTGGAAAATTCTACCAAAACTTTTAATTATTCTTGTAAAGGTGATTCCATCATTGAGTATCTATCTATTGTAGATGGACAAATTTCGAAGAGTCTGGCATAACTACTAAACACCTACATCTTCCAAATGACCAAAAATTGAATCCAATAAGTATAAGTTTGTGCAGTTTACACTATGGTAAGTGAATATAGTGAGTGATTAAGCCTATTTGTTTTAACTAACAATGTATTCATTTTCTTTGAAAATGGAATATTTCCAAATGCTTATTACCCTGGATTCCATTCCTAGTCACAATCCACCAATTAACTTCTAATTACATGCCCACACATATCGTCAAAGAATCTGCACAAGAAGCCGACAGACATGTCAACCTGAAACCGAGAACTTCGGTCCGTCCAATCAATCGACGGGAAAATATAAAATTCAATTAAATGTCACATAAACTCGAAGAATTACGCGCAAAAACCCAACAGGTTGTCAGAAGAGGCATGCAGCAAAGATAAAGATAGTAATTCAAGTGAATATAGAGAAGACAGGGCTGATGAAGATACCCACCGATAATCACCACGAACAACAACATCAACAAGGACCAGTCACTATCGACGGGAGATATTTATAGGCATAATCATTTTGTCTACAGCGGGCAATAATGAGGATATTAAAACCAGAATCAAGAAGGCAAAACAGATCTTCGTATCTCTGAAATCAGTTTGGAAAACGTCTGCAATCAGCATCAACAACAAGATTTTGGTTTCCAATACTAATGTCATACCAATCATTGCTTATGTATAATTCATAGACTAGGCGTGATACCGAAAGCATTTCCAACAAATTTCTGTAAACGTTTATCAGTAGCTGCCTTTGCTCCATATTGAAGATCAGATGGCCAGAAAGCATTAACAGCGAGAAATTCTCGGAACAAAATCAATCAAGAACCTGTTGTTCAATAAATATGGCGAAGAAAATGGAGATGGGTTGGACATACGCTGAAGAGACTGTTAGATGATATCGCACGCCAAGCTCTAGGGTGAAACTCGAATGGGGAACGGTGAGTTGTGTGTTGATCGACAGTGAAGTAGAGGAGATAAGAGTTTATGGACAATTTTGAAGCCCACAGAAAAGGGATTAGGGAACAGAATGAAATGAAGATGTGATCGATAGACATTTTTGCGTCATGGATATCAAATACTAATTATCAGTGCTAAGGATATCTGAGATATTTGGAAAAAGATAACCATTTTATGAAATAATTTTATGCCCAGAAGAATGGTATTCCTTAGTCTTCCGTTAGTAGGTGAAGTTTCCGATAGATCACTTAACTCAGTAGCGTTAAATAACTTTTAAAAAAAAATCATTTGCCTGAAGCTGCGCTTACATTCAGCTTTTCGTACTAGTCTCTTTAACCACGCACTGTCCTGTTACGTTTAATTGTTCATGCACAATTCCCAGTTAGATAAACAAGCATTTCGTTGCAAGACCATTGAAGACTAAATAGCAGTTATAAGTCAGTAAATATAGCTTAGGACAAAACATCCTGTCAGCACAGAATAATGCGTTACAATAATTTTCTCGTCTCCTCGGGCTTAAATTTACTGAAAGCAGATCGTGTACCACAACAGTCACCTAATACTGACAGTAGGATTCAGCGATCTACGTAACAATCACGCCTGTCAATGGAACTAGGAACTGATTTAGATATTAGTATCCCTGCAAACACAGCTTCACTGGAAGGTATTAAAATAGCTAGTACTGCTGCAAGTTGTGCTAAGAAATTTTCACCTAAACGTAGTAACCTCACTACGGTGAACAAATTTCTCAGGACTGAGTCTAATGATCGGAAGGAATACTTTTTATTCCATAAGCCTGCTGAGAGTAAGCGTGTTAACAAATTCACAGCAGATACCACGAAACCTTCTCAAACACATATATGTTTGAAGGTTCCAAAAACGCCAAAGTCCTGCAACCGAAGCAGAGCTATGAAGATCTGTTTTGCCTTCCTGATTCTGGTTTTAATATCCTCATTATTGCCCGCTGTAGACGAAATGATTATGCCTATAAAAGTGAAAGAGATGATTTCCATCAAATTTCCCCACCCCCCACGCCGATAGTGACCGGTCCTTGTTGTTGGTGGTGGTAGTGGTGGTCGGTGGGTACCTTCATCACCCTGTCTTCTCTATATTCACTTGAATTACTATCTTTATCTTTGCTGCATGCCTCTTCTGACAACTTGTTGGGTTTTCGCGCGTAATTCTTCGAGTTTATGTGACATTTAATTGAATTTTATATTTTCCTGTCGATTGATTGGACGGACCGAAGTTCTCGGTTTCAGGTTGACATGTCTGTCGGCTTCTTGTGCAGATTCTTTGACGATATGTGTGGGCATGTAATTAGAAGTTAATTGGTCTATGGTGACTAGCAGTGGAATCCAGGATGCGCATTTCGTCCTATTTGGAACTCGTCAGGTGGATGTACGTGCATTCCGCAGTGATTGATGACGTTCTTAGCGAGGCTTGAACCTACTGCTATGGTTTCAAATACCAAGGCTTTATCCACTAGACCACCTGGGCCACGACAGCCACCTCTTGTGCAACGGGCCATAGTAATCAAAAATAAAAATAAATAAAAAACTTCTAATTACATTCCCAGACGCCGTCGAAGTATCTACACAAGAAGTTGATATGTCAGCCTGAGACCAAGAACTTCGATCCAATCAGTCGATGGGAAATTTATAAAATTTAATTCAATAATTAATATGACCCATCGCACGAGAGGTGGCTCTTGCTGTTCAAGTGGATAACGTTTTTCTTAAACACGCTGGGATTAATTTAAATAATTTATAATGGTAGGTATATGATTTCACTTGATACTCAGTCTGTCTTTTGCCATGCATGACAACATTTCTGTAAAAAATATTATCCAAACTAGCTTATTTGTTATAAATGCAGGACCTTGAGACCTCACTACTTACGAAAACCAAACTCTCGAACGCACTCGACTAGGGTCTACTGCGAGTTTAAACCCAACCAGATCCAGGTTCAAAGCGTTCGTGACCACTCTGAATCTATTGCCTGGTTCAGGGTGGAGAATACTCCACTCATATTATGTCCTCACTATATACTGTGTTCACATATTCATATTTCCAAATGTACTTTTATCTTCCTGACTTATTTTTCTTTTAATAAATTAGGTGGTGTTGATCTACATACAAAATATCATTTCATTTCTATGTCTGAAATGCATAACCATATTAATCCATCATCAGAGTTATTTAATAAAGAAATTTCTACTGAAAAAGAATTATCTATCGGTTATACAGAACTAAAAACACAGAATAACTCGTCTACAGTGAATACTTGGAAAAATATTAACAATAATAATAACAATAATAACAGTGCCCATCCTCATGATAAATTTAACCTATGGCCAGCTCCTGTTTCACAACCTTCGCATATCATTCATCCATTTTACAGTAATGGCAGTAATAAGCTAGATGACCTGGAACTACCCTTTACCCCAGTTGCCAATAAAAAAATGTCAGTTCATCAAAATGAAAATGCAAAGAAACGCAAAATGAATATTCAATCATTTCAGAACAAAATGCAATCAAAATATGCTGGACAGTGCTCTTTCAAATGGACACCAACTTGTCAAATTGATAAAGGAACACCAAATACGATGACAGAGAAGTCAATGAATACTCCTTTAGTACAAAGATCTATGCTTGATTATTTAAAAATAAATAATAAGGTAAGTAAGATGATTGTATTGAAAATTAGTTAGCATTGTATGCGCTAATTTCGTTTGATTGTATTCATTGGATTTCATTATGAGCTGACATCAGTTAGGGAACCATTGGAAAACCAACTGGGAGTACTGGAAAGCTGTTTCGTCAACCCACTTTTGGACTCTTTAGCAGTACACATCTACTGCCAGGGTTCGAACCCAGTACCTTCTGTTCTCAAGGCCAGCTCGTAGACCATTGAGCCATTGAAACCCGACACAATGGCCAGTTCATGAATTCTAACTTCTGCTAATTCATGACATAGCGTGACCACTTTGCAGTGTCTTCTTCGATGAGTTACTGCCTCACCTTCAACCTGCTGTACCCTACTGGTCACGGCTTCCCACTAGAACCCCAGGTTAACTGTCTGAATAGGGCCAGTTGCTAGTGAGTATTGATTTTGTGGGGATTGTGTTTGATTGGTTGGAGGATTTCATTATGAGGTGACATTAGTTAGAGAACCATTGGGAAACCCGGGAGTACGGAACAGGACGAAACAGCTGTCCAGTACTCCTTCGTTGTTTTCCAATGTTTCTCTAACTGATGTCACCTCATAATGAAATCCTCCAACCAATCTAATATAATATAAAATTATTTAAAAGTTAAGCTATCATATAAGTTTTTGAACTTCACTCTTTAAATTGTAACAATAAATTCAATTTATGGTAATTTAGAGGATTAGCCTGTAACACTAATTACTTTGTTAACGCTCATTTTTGTATTTGACGTTCTTCCATTTAGTCCACCTTACAATGAGTGGAAATGTTCAGTTAAGATTCTACGGTGATTGAATAGCGGTACTTACAAGAGCACTGAGAAGTCTACTTCACATAACAGAATAATTCAAACATACAGAAGAGTTATTTAATTCAATTTTAGATTTTCCCGTCGATTGACTGGACGGACCGAGGCTTTCGGTCTCAGATTGACATGTCTGTGAGCTTCTTGTGCAGATGATTTGACGATGTCTGGGCATGCATTTAGCAGTTAATTTGTGGATAGTGACTAGCGGTGGAATTCAGAACAACGAGCATTTGGTCCTATTTGGGACTCATCAGGTGGATGTGTAACGACAGAAGGCAAGAGTCAAGCAACAGATCATTTATTATGGAAATCAACAAATATTTATAGATTTTCATGTACATTTTTATAGATTATTAGCAGAAAATCACAGTCTTCTGATTGGTGGTTGTTTCTCACAGAAAGTTAACCTTGCATCTCTTTGTGGCTGTTTCTTGAATGTCAGATCACCTACATGTTAACTGTATCCGCCTACGCAAAGTCTTTGTTCTCATTTTTCTCACGACCAATATTGGGGACATAAACATTGACATAAATTACTGTCCACCAATTTTGGCTAACAGCCAGCTCTCACCACAGATGCACTTGCATTCCGCAGTGAGTGATGTTCCCACCGAGACTCGAACCCGTTGCACGAGGTGTGCCTCTCATGGTCTAGTGGATAACGCTTTGGCATATGAAAATATGCGCACTGAGCTCGAGCTTCGAGGGGAACATCATCACTCACTACGGAATGCACGTATATCCAGTTGACGAGTCTCAAATAGGACGAAATGCGCATTGTCCTAGATTCCACTGCTATTCACTATCCATCAACTAACGTATAAAAACGTTGTTAAAATTATTGACCTCAATAACTTCTCTATGTTCCTGTTTCATATATAAACAGATTTCAAAATCAGAACCTTCTAAGAAGCATAATCCTATAGAAGAAATGAAGAAAACATTTACTCCTAACACCACAGTAGACGCAGATAACTCAAGCAGGAGATCTAATCGTAAACGATTCAAATGGGATCCAAATTCGCAAACTAGTATGGATCTGGATTCAAGTGAAGTTTGTCAACTTCAACATTTACCTTGATGCCAGTATTAGGTGACAATGACTCAGTGATGGATACAACATTAAATATTACCAATATGCTAATGAAAGACACTACACCGGAATTAATAAACAGATCATTTGCACCAAGAAAAAACGATCCACTCTCAATGTCATGTCCACCGATTTCTTCTTCTAGTAAATTAAATCAATTCAAATATTCACCAACATCCTTTAATAAAAATAATACATCAATACAGAGTGATACAGGAAGCGAGATTGACATATCCCCCTCACCGCATAATCACTCATATGATTCGAATACTTCAAAGCCGAGTGACGTTGTCACTTTGAACCAGGAGGTAATTTCAACACCTCAACAAGCCGAGCAAAATCAATTATGCTTATATCATACACCATGTCAATATCGAACCCCAGATTATCATCCTATCAACTACAATGACAGGATACAAAGAGATGGGCTAAAATCTAATTCGTCTTCTTCTGTATCCCTACCAGCAACAGACTACTATAGTACTCCAAAAACCGCGCACAATTATCTCTGTTATACAAAAGGTATAAATTCACAAAATAATGGTAGTAATAGTAGTAGTAGTAGTAGTATAGTAACCACCCAGAGTATATTAACACCAGTAATGAATTCAAATGAACAACATAAATTTAAAATTCCCAGTTATTCGGTTGTTTTAAAATCAAGTCAAACAAATAAATCCAGAATGAAATTTAATTCTTTTACACCAACGGAAACAATAACGCGGTCAGATAATACTAATACTAATCTGCGTAAAAGACTAATTCAGCATTCAATAAATCATGGCGTCGACGACAGTCAATGGGATGAAAGTCAAGAGAGTTCAATTCAAGAAAAACTGCAACAACAAGACCAACATTTGTGTAATGATACACAAATATTCCAAGAAACAGAGACTGAAATTTCAATAGATTATAGTTTGATAAATGATGGTTGGAGTGAATTAGCTTGTCTAATAAGGATAAGTAAATTAGGTTTATTGGACAGTAAGTGTTGGTGTTATATAAAAAAAATTAAATTATTGATCCTTCTAATTGTATTATTATCATTATTGTTCCTTTGGGTTCCTATTGGAACTTGCCACTTCTGTCTCCTGCCATACTTTTCACCTGAATCCATGTTAGTCCATACTCTTTCAACTCCGCTTCACACCATCTCCTCCATGTCACCCTTGCACTGACGTCCCACTCGCCGCTTCCCTTTCGGGTTCCACTTGAGAGCCTGACGCGCGATGTCACCCAGTCGCCTCCTCAACGAGTGTCCAATTCATCTCAATCCACTTTCTCCTGCATATTTGTTGGTTGGCGGTTGGTTGGTTCTTGTTTTGTTTGTTTGTGCTCATAGTTTCTTGTTGGTGATTGTTTCCGGCCCGGCCCGGCCATCTGATCTTCAGTATAGATCCAGCGAAGACAGTTGTTGTTGATAAAGGTCTGGTCTGCAATAGTCTGTTGGAAATATTCTTTGTGACCCGCCCGCCATATTTCTGATCCGTTCCGTATAGAAGAACTAACTCACTTGACGTTGTTTGTATTGAAAATCCGACTGAATTTTGTTGTTGATGGTGAGTGACGAAGATTTCCAGAATGGTTTCAGGTTGATGAATGTGTGTGTTTCTCGCCTTCCCGATTCTTGCTCGATTTGACATCCTCGTCCTTTCGACATCCTGTAGTTGAGACAATGCTCCCTAGATGCGAATGTGAATGAATGAACCTCTTTCAAATCCCTCCCGTTGATGTTGATTGACGCCGGATGTTGCTGCTGTTGTTGTTGGTTGGTTGGTTATTTTCATCACCTCCGTCTTGTCTATGTTCACTTGGAGTCCTGTCTTTGCTCCTTCCATCTAATAGTGGAACCTTTTGATTGATTGATTACTGGGTAATAACTAAAATTGTGATTTGAGTCCATAAGTGTTGATGCGCTAACTGAGTTCTGTCAGTCAATTTACCAAGGTGGTAATCGTGCTCCAGGTGACTTACCATCGCGGTAGACGCTAAACTTATTGTAACTGATACAAGACAATCAGTAGGCATCTCTGATAGAATTCCATTTTCACCAACTCAAGGACTTGACGCATTGCATTGGTTACTTACTACCCGGTGGCCAATTAACGTATCCATCAGAGTCCTAAAGGAAGTCAGTAGCGAACCCGAATTATTATTATTATTCCCTTGGGTTACGAATGGAATATTGGGCTTGAAAAGCACACATGTATTTCATCTTTTTCTCTGCAGTCACTCCTATTTTGAGTTTGTGAGTAAAAGATAAACTGTCTAATTTCGCCTCTTCCATGTGTATCTGCTAATTCAACTGCTTCTGTGGAGCCATTTAGCTGCTTAGGCCGTACAACTAATCATGTTTCTCGTTAGATTTTCGAACATCACCCTAAGTGGTTAAGTAAAGGACAAACAAAATCTATTCGTAGCGCTAATCTTTCTCATCTTGTGGATACAGAACACAAGACTGATGCTAACCAGGCAGCTTTCAGAGTCATTTACCGCATACTAACAAATGTCAACTTTGCCGTAAGAGTTCGATTACTATCTATTGCTGAGGCTGTTGAGATCCATATTAAGAAGCCTAATTTGTGCGTCCAAAAGAAGTTAGTTCAGACATTATCATTACCTTGGAAATCTAGGTTTGAATGATCATGAATTTTTGTGGAATTTTCCTAATTTTAGTTGATATTCTATTTTCTATCATATTTTTATTATTATTATTTAAGCATATTTAATGAACGGTAATTCCCTCGTGCTCTTACTTAACAAATCGATATTATTTAAAAAACACTAATATTGGTATTGACTACTATTCTAGAATATCCAATGCAAATTAACATACATATAATTGTAGAGCCGGAAGAGGAATTTATCGAAAAGAATATTCTCTGGTCGATTATTTTGTGTTTTATAGATGTCTGAATGAATATTTTGCGCTATATTGAAATATAAAAAAATTAAGTAAACTGATAACTGAATACATGAGGCCAAATATATTGCTGATTGATTGAGATGAACAGTCGCTATTCAAATCCAAGTGAACGAAACACCGCGTCAGTCGTTTGAAGTTTCCCTCATCAACAGTGTACCTGGTTTGATTCAGCGTAGAGATAGCTGAATCATTTCAAACCATTGGATTTTTGGCTAGCTAAGAGGTGTGAACTTGTGCACATTAAACAGTACTCTCAATTTGTACATTACAATATATGGTTCATTTCACCACCATAAATAGGTAGTCAAGAAAGTAAGCGAAATAACAAGATGGCATATACTACTATTGATTAGTATGTGCACTTATAGACTAATCACGTTAAGCAGTAATCCCCATGTATTACCAGTTTGCTAAAGCTTAACTACTAAGCATTCGGGTGGTTTGAACTTACTCAACCCACAGCGCCGTCGCCACGTTAGCCTGGCTGTCAAAGGTCGGGTATACAATGCTTCGGTGCGGGCTGTCTCGCTCTACGCCAGACCTGTGAAACCTGGCCTCTCCGAGTAGGCTGAGGATGTTCGGCGACTCTGCGTGTTCGATCATCGCTGTCTCCGCAGGATTGATTGCATTCGATGGCATCATCGCGTGAGTAATTCTGAAGTTCGGCGGCGTGTGTTTGAACACAGTGGAAACCACCATTCATTGAGTGTCGTCATCTGGAAACACCGACTCCGGTGGCTTAGACATGTGGTGCGAATATCATTCCAGAGGCTTCCGTTCAGGTCTCTGTTCGCTAGCCAACCCTGAGACGAGATGGCACAGGCGGAGGGGTAGGTGGTCAGTCCATGACGTGGTGATGTGGAATGAAGGATGTTTGTGCCAGATTAGCATTGGCTGGTGCGTCACGACTTCCTGGTTGGAGTCCGCGAGATAGCTCGAATCGATGGCTCAAAACGTTTTCGGATATGGCCAAGATTCTCAGTCGTCAATAGCGAACATGTTGCGATTTCCTTCTTTCTTCCCTTTCCGATGATAGTTAACGAATACTGTTTGACTGTTTTCGTTCCAGATGAAGTTCTTTATCCGTTCTCTATTTATATTTTTACTTTTAATCTATGTTGTTTTATTATTCTTGGTGCCATAATGTACCAAGTTTTTCCTGCGTTTCAATAAATAAATAAATAAATACAGAGTTGAGTCATTCCAAGTATACTGCGCTAATGCAGTCGACCACCCTCCCCCAAACCAGAGAGAAACGGCTACCTATTGTCTAGATCAATCTAATTTGACTACTAAACACTACTGTTTAGTGTGATTCGCATGGAACTACTTATCGCAATCAAAGTAACTATTGTTTTCATGCTGACAGCATGAAGTCAATAGTTACTTTCTTTATTGTCAATTATGGTGTCAAGTAGATCACATATTATAATGATCTGAATAATTTCGGTTCCCAAGAGAAGGCGTGGTGAGTGAAATTCCACCCCCATATACGGTAACCAAATGTCTGCATGTTTTCTCTTCAACTCTTTAATTAACAAATCACAATTGTCTGCGAAAGAATAATCTAATAATAATATATTTTTATTAATATAATTTAAATAATAACAGTTGATCATACACTGAACGATGAAGATAGTGTTGCAGATTCTTCCAAGTCGACAGAAAAAACTAACGATTGTATTCCTACGCTGGAAGAAGAAAATCCTAGCCATAAACGTGTATGCTATAGCGCAGTAAGTTTATTTTCTTTCTTTTGAAAAAAAAATGCAACAACAGAAAGTTCAGTGAATACATCTTTTTCTCAATACTTGTATTACATAACAATGTATTTCAGCCTTTTCTATACTCTTGCTTTCCCATTTGGAATGGAACATAAGGCGCTTCAAGCTAGAACTTTGAAATCTCAGTAGTAATCATTTTATCTTTACAAGGTGAGAGGTTTCTAGCTTGACGCCCAACCCTCCCTCTTTACACTGGCTTAGCGAGGTTTAGGAGTTTGCCAGTTGGGGATCAAAATCTGGGACGAATGTAGCATGGTTGGCGAGTATTTCACCTTTGAACCACCTTCAGCTGCGGCATATTACTACATTCCGTTCCGAGAAATTAATATACATATTTTTATGTGGTTGTGTTCTCTAAGCTGGATAGTTAATTTGCAAAGCTTTCATCGCCCTACTAGGCAATATTTTCAGCGCATTCTTCAATTCAAATTGAAGTGAGTTTCTAGATTTCTCCACGAGTTTATTAGTCATCCCTCCTGGTGGGTGACCTTCAACATCGTGATTGGTTGTTTTTGTGTGTATGCGAGGTTTCTTTCTTATCGGTTGATAAATTCTAATAATAATAATAATTTCGCTTTTATTCCAGAAACAGTACTTGTGGTACAGTTTGGAATTTTCAGCACATATCTACAATATTGCATCTAATTTCATCGTACATTTAAAAGGAGTATTACAAAAAATAAATATAAAAAAAAACCAAAACCAGAAAGAAACACAGAAATAACAAAAAAATGCAAATAAAAATACCAAGTAGAAAGGAAGATAAACACCAATAATGAAAAAATATTTCAGTATTGGGTAGTGGAAGCTATGATATGTGTATGCGTGGTGAACAGTAACAGCTATAATCATACAAGAAATTATGAGATGTTCTCTAAAAGTTTTTATAGCCAAGATGATCAGTTAATTTGATTGAACAACACTAAACAATCATAAAATAAACATTTCAGGTTTTTTTTTTATTGTCAGCACTAATGCGGTGTTTGTAGTGGTAGTGTGAGGAATCATGCATAATATAAAATTTTTAAGATGGTGATAGTGGCGTTCACAAACAAGATTGTCAGTTAAATAGTGCCGAACAAAGAACAACCACAAAACTAATATTACATGATGGTTAATGACGGGACAATTTTTAATAATCATAGTGATAATATAGTCGGACCCAGTAGATACACAAAAGAAGGAATATAATAAAGAATAAAAAGTAAGCCAATGATAATAATTTTAAGCAGCTAAGTATGTTTAAGAAGGTTGTTCACTATAGAGTACAAATAAGAGAGTGTAAGGGGGAAATAACAAGGGCCAAAATTATGTTATTAACAACAAAGCAAGTCATAGGTTTCACGCTTAACATTGTCTCTGTCACTTAGAACACGGGCCAAATATGGTATCGTTGAGTTCCTATACTTGGTTGTACGAGCATATATTATTTTGTACTGATTTCTGGTTCTACCTGATGAGATGCAAGGAGAGAGTTGGGAATAGAGGGGGTGTTGGGGGTCAGAGAGTATGGTTTTAGACCATTTCTCACATGTATTCAGATGCTTATCCACTAATGTTGTGACGAGCTGACTGAGTTTTACACCGCTAGTCCTACTAACTACCTTCAACATCCTTCTCAGGATGGTATAATCCTTTTTCAGTAACCCAGGAAAGACTAACGGGGAACAGTAAAGTAGAATAGGTAGGATACGAGAGTTGACAAATTGTGAAAGCAGAGGTTGAGGGACTCCAGTTAGTCTGAGTTTCTTAATGTAGTAGGTTAGACGAAACACTTTCTTGGAAATCATTTGGATATGAGATGACCAAGTAAGGTCGGAAGATATAACTAATCCGAGGTATTTTGCATTAGACTTTGTTTCAATTATAGTCCCCTCAATTCTACAGACATCATGAGTGCTTACTAGTGTTTGTAGATCTCGTTTATGCCTAAAGGAGAAGTCGACAGTCTGGCATTTTGAGGGATTCAGCGTGAGGCCATTTAGTTTAGACCACTGACTGATGTCCGACAGGAAGCTATTTAATTTGAAGCAGTCTGACTGAGACTTAACGGGAAGCGAAACAGTCAGGTCATCTGCATATTTGACGAAGTTGATTTCGTCTGAGAGAGGTAAGTCATGTAAGAAGAAGGAAAAGAGAAACGGCGAGAGAACAGCACCCTGAGGAACACCAGCTTCAGTAAGCAAAGGAGAGGAAGCTACACCATTATATACCGTGTACTGCATCCTATTGGAGAAGTAAGAGTGCAGCCAGTTGATAGCCCAGGACTCAGTTTGTGTAAGGCTAAGCTTGTTTAACAAAAGGCCTCTAGGTACAGAGTCAAAAGCAGATGTGTAATCAAGGAAAGTACAACGGACATACTTGGCCCCTTTGTCTAAGGAGGATACAATGTTGTGATGAAACACAGCAGCAGCATCCAAAGTACTTCTACCCTGTTTGTAAGCAAACTGCTTTGGATCATTTGAGAAGCTTAGGGAGGGAATGAGTTTTTGTAACAGTAATTTCTCCATCAGTTTCAAAAAAGGAGAGGTAATGGCAATTGGTCTAAACTTAACACTATCTCCAGAACCAGACTTGGGTACAGGGATGATTTTAATATCTTTCCACAGAGAAGGTACAACATTATTAGAAAAAGAAGTATTGAAAATGCTTGTAAGTGGGTTACTTAAAATATCAGCACATTTCTTTAAAACAATGGCAGGTATACCATCAGGGCCTAGACTCTGGGAAGGTTTAAGAGATTTCAAACATTTAAGAACATCAGAAGTATTGAAATTGAATTGAAGTATTGAATTCTGTCTATCTCAATGTGTCTATTGATTGATGATTCACTGGAATACCAGGCCTACTTCCAAAAATTCTCTAGCATTCTTGTTGTCTCCTCTGTCTAATATTTGAACGTTGGTTTTCCCAGTCGAATTGATGTTCATGGTTGTCTGTATGGAGTGAGGGGATATGAGGGAGTGGATATCATGTCATTTGACGGCTGGTTTATGTTCATGGATACGTATACGAAGCGGACGTTCACTTTGGCCAATGTAGTGTTTTTACTCAGTTGTTACAATTTATTTTGTAGATGATGATGGTTTTATCTTCTTTCGTTGTTGAGTCTTTTGGTTGACGTAGAATTGAGTGAAGTGACTTTGTTGGTTTGTGTACGACGTCAATTCTTAAAGCTTTGAAGAGTCTTGTATTGGTTTCTGAGATATCCTTTATATATGGTAAGGCGATTTTCTTTGTGCTTTCCTTGGGGATTTCGGTTTGATAGGTTGGTTTGAGGGTATATGTCTTTTGATGAAATTCCGTTCAAGTCAAAGAAGCGATCAGTTCCAATACAAGTAACCTAGAAGCTGTGAAAACACACAAAAACAACTAATCACTTCCAAGATCACCAGGAGAGATCTAGAAGCTCACTTCATATTGAAGTATGCGCTGAAGATGTTGCCCAATAGGGCGTTGAAAGCCTCGAAAATTAGCTATGCAGCTTGGAGAACACAACCACATCAAAATGTCTGGTTTTGCATCACCATAATATTTCAAAAAACCATTTAGTCATTCATCTTGTGAGAAAAAAATAATCTCGACGGGAAACAAAACGCCTATCAAGGTTGTACTTAGCGAGTAAACACTAAACACAGGAAAAAATAGATGACATAATGCGCAATAATTATCATTGGCATAAATTACTTCTTGTGCGTCGGTGGTATAGCGGTTAGGACGCTCGCCAACCATGCACATGGTCCGGGGTTCGATCCCCGGCCGACACACACCTTTACCTCTCTAAGCCAGAAATAATTCTGGTAAAGAGCAAAGGTTGGGCATGAGGCTAGCAACCCCATCCTGTAAAATAAACTCTGCTACAGAAACTTCAAGCTACTAGCTTGAAGCCCTATGTTCCACTGGGGAACGTGAAGGAAAAATTATTATTATTATTATTATAAATTACTTCTTAATACAAACGCAAATATTATTATTATAAGACTAGTTACAATAATCCTTGAAGACATTAGAAAATCAAAACAAGATTTTTTTCTGAAGGTTCCTCTGTGTTAGTTACAGCTTCTTCACAATAGAATTATTCAATTTTTTACTAACCATCAAAATACATAGTCAAAAATTATATATATTATAGTATATTTCTTTGCTGAAAGCCCTTTTTCAGTAGATATTTGCACCTGTGTAGAAAAATGGCAAAGCTGTGTGTGCATTTTGTCAATTCAGTAAGTGGAAACCATCATATTAATTTTCAGAGGTCAACAGATTGGATTGAATAATTTTTTCTAAGCTGTTTTACTTCATTCACTTAGAGTCTGCCGCATATGTATGTAGTGATAAGTCTATCTCTTGTCTATTATTTCGTGCATTCTATGAGATTAAAAAATGCAAGGCTCAAGAGGTCGGCCTCTTTTTTTAAGTGAATTTCAGCATTGTCAAAATCGCTTTATATAGCATACGGGAGTAAGACAAGCTGGCTGCCTACTGTCGCCAATGATTTTCGTGATCGCAGTAGATTGAATAATGCGACAGACAGCTGGCAATGAGGAAATAGGCATAAAATGGACCCACACCCAAAAAAATGGACCCAGAGACAACAGCGGACTTGATGACGCCATTGCTGGAGAAGGTGTGGAAAGACGGCAAAGTAACCGAGGATTGGAAGAAAATATACTTATTCAAACTACCGAAGAAAGGAGACTTAAGTCAATGCAAAAACTGGCGCGGAATTATGCTACTGTCCATCCCAAGCAAAATACTAAGCCATATCATCCTGGAGAGAATCAAACAAACCCTAGATGAAAAACTTCGACCGGAACAATCTGGATTCAGGATAAACAAATCATGTATTGATTAAATCGCCACTCTACGGATCATCATCGAAAAAAGCTTGGAATGGCAGTCAGCTCTCTGCTTCACTCAACTTCATCGACTTTGAAAAGGCCTTCTACAGCGTCGATCAAGAGGTGATTTCGCAATGACTTCGCTACTACCAAGGGGTAACATCAACAATTATACATCTCATCCAACAGTTATACGACAATGCTGCATGCCAAGTAATCCACAGCGGGAAACTTACAGAAGCCTTCAAAGTGAGAACGGGAGTGAGACAAGGCTGTCTACTATCGCCAATGATTTCCCTGATTGCAGTAGATTGGATGATGCGACAGACAGACAACGGGTAATGAGGAAACAGGCATAAAATAGACTCACAAAAACTTGGAGGATCTGGACTTCGCCAACGATATATGTCTGACTTCCCACAAACTGGAACATATGCAAGTCAAAAGCAACAAGTTGGCAGAAGAGGCATCAAAGATAGAACTTCAGGTGAACATAGATAAAACAGAGGTGATGAAGATTCCTGGCCAACATCAACAGCGACAACAACAACAGACAACAACCAGCATATATGGGAGAAACCTGAAAGAAACAGCCTCCTTCACCCACCTGGGAAGTATCGTTTCAACTACAGGCAGACGGGACTGATGAGGATATCAAAGCAGTGAGGATAATGAAAGCAAGACAGGCTTTCATTACTCTTAAGTCTGTGTGGAGGTCAACACCCAGCATGAAGATGAAAATGAGATCCGGATTTTCAACTCCAATGTGAAGTCAGTGCAACTTACTATACTACGGATCAGAGACTTGGCCAGCGCGTCATAAAGAGCATCTCAAAAAAAACTGCAGACCTTCATTAACAGCTGTATTCGCTCAAGATCGGATGGCCAGCCAGAAAAGATCAGAGACAAGGATCTATGGCAATAAGCGAACCAACCAGGAACCGATTGTGCAACAAATAAGCAGGAAGAAATGGAGACGGGTTAGCCGTACTTTGAGAAAACAAAACATCAAGTGACATCACTAGACAGGTCATCGCTCGAGTGGAACCCGAAAGGGAAGCGGCGAGTTGGTCGTCCCAGGGTGGGGTGACTTGGAGGTGATGTGAAGAGGAGATGAAAGCATGTTAGCAGACTTGGAGCCAAGTGGAAACTCTAGCACAGAACCGAACGCAATGGAGACGCGCGGCTGAAGTCCTATATTCCTCTAGGAATTTAAAGGAAATAATTATAATAATTTTTCAGCATTCTTTAATTCTGTTTCACTTTTAGGCGTGAGTGTTTCTTGCACAGTCTATGCTCATCACTCTGACCTTTATCTGTTTACTACTTTCTCCTATAAATATCAACCCTCATATTTTATCCTACACATACAGTTGTTTTGTATCAATTCTAGCAAATATATCTTTGACACTAACTTGAGAGAATTGGTGGGCTTGAAATACTTTTTAACACTATATAAAACGAGGTACATTTTGTATTTGTTCAGCCTTGCCTTTCCGATACGTGGAGACATAGACACCCAAGATTTTTCAATCTTCTTCTTGCATTTTTCACCTTTGTGGTGAGAGCTGGCTACTAGCCAAAATTAGTAGACAGTAATTTACGTCAATGTTTATGCCCCCAATATTGGTCGTGGGAAAAATAAGAACAAAGACTGATCCAACAACCAACAACAGCAGACTCTGCGTAGGCGGATACAGTTACCACATAGATGATCTGACATTCAAGAAACAGCCGCCGAGAGATGAAAGATTAACTTTCGGTCAGAAACAACCAAATAATAGACTGTGTTTTTCTGCTAACAATAACCTATAATAATGTACATTAAAATATTTAAATATGTGTTGATTTCCTTAATAAACGATCTGTTTCCTGGCCCTTCTCTTCTCTTGTTACACCTTTTCTATTGATAAGTTTATTTTAGAAATTTTCCTAGATTACCATTTCCAAGAGTTAGTTTGTAGGGATTTGATTGATTTGTTTCAAGCTTAAACACTGATATCAGTGTACTGGACAGCTGTTTCATACCAGTTTCGGACTCTTCATCACTACGCACCCACCCAGTGGTTGATTGGAAAATGAGTTTGCCTTGTAACCATAAGGTCTTGGGCTCGAACCCTGCTGAAGGGCGCCTAACTGGGACAAGAGACGTCCTGTAAATCCTGATTTTTAATCAAAATTTGTCTTATTATTGGAGATATCATTCTATGTATCTGTTATGATGTCATCAGTATTATGTTGCGCAATAACATTGAGTTTAACAGGGACGCCGATTCGGACACAGATGCGTTGAACACGAATACTGCTTGTCTGTGTCAACATCATTCGGTGACAGCTACCCTGTTTCCCAACCTGCTCTACTTAAGGGTTTGAACACACGACAGCGTGAGTCAAAAGTATATTTCACTACTTTTACACAATGATATATCAATTAGTCTATAATCATGATCAATAAAATAGTGGGTATTATTTTACATTGACAAATTCTGATTGGTTTATTTGCAGGCCGACCTTGATCAACGTATCACCAATATAAGGATAATCCATTGTTTATCTATCTACCTATCATCAATTTCATCGTTATCGGTGATAATGTGTTTTTTTTGAGCTCAATTTAAGAGATTAAAAAAGCTATCGAGATTTTCATGCTTAATGAATGATCCGAATAGGAAATTTGAATACATCTTTGATATATATATGTAAAAAATGTTTTTCTTTTTCTATAAATCGTGTTGTTGAACTTGAATTGGATATTTAAAGTGCACCTCAATAGTAGTTCCTTTAAATAGTGGATCGGAACACATACGTCTACATTATTATCCTTAATGAATTTGCATATAAAGCAAATAGTTTCAGTGAGGGGAACGTTGGTGAATAGCGAAGTAACATCAGCCATGGATACAATTTTCATCCCGGATACATTAGCATCACTTATTGAATCGACGAATTCAAACGAATCAGAAACACTATGCTTGCAGAGGTTATTTCTGATAGGTAGGTAGGAGGATGTCTGCGAGCCATTTAGCAGTAGTAGCATGATATGGAGAATTTGTCATATACCAGATTCGACGTAGTGGCAAGTTCTCTTTATGCACTTTCGCAGACAATAATATAAACGGGGAATCACGGAACCGGAGGGTCGTATTCGCTCGAATAATTCACAGCTGATAATCGATTCGTTTTTCATTTTCTTTCTCATTTATTTTCTTACAGCCACCTACACCGAATCCTAGACTAGTGAATATTGAAAACATGAATTTCTACGAAACACCACCGGCTCAGTCTACCACCACCACGGAAGAATAATAACTAGGAATACAATAAATGAAAAATCAATATTTGCCTTATTTTAAACAATAAGCCAATTCAATCATTACAACTTTTATCATATTATTATATTGTTATACAATTTTTTAAAAATTTAATAAATATTGATTACAAAATGTGGTTGTAATGAAAGCAAAAAAAAATGAATAATCAATTCTTTTTCTATTCAATTGAACTGAAGATTAATACGTAAATAAACCAAAAAAGAAAAACAAGTGTAAAAAAAGGAGAAATCATGATTTCTTTCACTTTGTTTAAACAAACAAAAACAGAGAAGAGATTAATCAGATGATGATGATGATGACGAAAAAAATAAACAGGGAGGCAAGAAGGGAAAGAGACAATCAAAGAGAAACTTTCACTAATATTCACAAAATTGGTATATATATATATATATATATATATATATCATATCATATCATATTTGGTTTGGCAAAATGGATTCTTAATTCCTCATATACTAAAATTAAAAAAAGACAACAAAAAGAAAACAGGTAAACAAAAAAATTATATAGACAAACAATGACGCATTGATTTAAAATTTTTAATTGTGAGTAACATACTACTTAAATAGACTTTTATGTGACACAAGGTTGCAGCGTGATTGGGACCAGCGGCCTTCGAATTTCGTATAATTTCGTTAGCTGGTAGGGGAACTGATGTGTTTAATTGATTGATGGTGACTAGCAGTGGAATCCGTGATAAAGCGCGTTTCGTCCTATTTGGGACTCGTCATCTGGATGTACCTGCATTTCTCAGTAAGTGATGGAGTTCCCATCGAGGCTCGAACCCAGAGCCCATAGTTTCAAATGCCAAAGCATTATCCACTAGACCATTTGGGCCACGAGAGCCACCTTTTGTGCAACAGGTCATATTAATTGAATTTAATTTGACATTTTCCCGTCGATTGATTGGACCGAAGTGCTCGGTCTCAGGTTGACATATCGGCTCCTTGTGCAGATGCTTCGACGATGTCTGGGCATTTAATTAGAACGAAATGCGCGTTATCCTGGATTCCACTGCTAGTCACCATCCACCAATTAAATACTAATTAAATGCCCAGTCATCGTCAAAGCACCTGCACAGGAAGCTGACAGACATGTCAACCTAAGACCGAGCACTTCGGTTCGTCCAGTCAGTCAACGGGAAAATTTAAAATTCAATTAAATGAACTGATGTGTGTCTACAATCTGTCTCACTAGCCTGTAATTCAGATACTAACAAATTACACGTTGTCACATGATGCGCATCATCCGTTTTGGAAATACACGTTTTAATCCTACCGTATAAGTCTTCTGGGATTCCGGGAACCAAAACCCTGGACAACAAACATAGTTAGACAATAGATCTTTTTATAAACTTTAGAAATTTAGTGTAAGAAAATAGCCCATAAAATTGCACAGATTAAAATAGTCAGAGGGGGATATACACCACAGCAGAGATATTACAGTCAGCCAAAAATGAGATGAGTGATCTTTTTTTATCTATCATAAAAGCTCTTTTTATACCACTTCTCCTGTAGACAGTTAGGTGTAATGAAGAAAATAAGAGGCAATTCAGAGAAGAAAATTTTCTTTATCGACGAAATCATCTTCACAGGCTGTATAGTAGTCAATTATTGAGTAATAAGGGGGATGTGTGATGTAATTACACAGAAGTCGTCTTTCAAGATCATCTACAAGGTGACGCCAAATGGTACAAACGGCGTCAGGTTCCAGAATTTGTATATGGCAGAGACGTTGGCGACTTTTTAATACAACCCCGAACTCTGTATACAGAAAAAGTTTGTCCAGTCTCTTATTCTATCTTCGTCTTAACCTCTTCACTAGTCGTTCCCTGTAACAATAATTTTATTTTTTATTTTACTTTCAGTTTGCTTTTACTTTATCAATTATTTCACTATTATCACTCTCATATGTTCCTTTTGTACATTTCTAGACCCTCTTCACACTTGTTAAATTGACACTCAACTATCTTTATTCTTACTCAATAGCAATTTTAACCTAATCAAATTTCTAACCCTTTCTTTCTTTGTGCCGTTGAGTACTACGTAATTTACAACTTTTATTTTTACTTTCAAAGCCACTTCCGAGTAATTAAATTGATTACGTCATCCCTCCGTCTATTACTCAATAATAGACCACTATACATTTTTGGTAAGTATAAATACGACTGTACGGCAGCCTGTGAAGACGATTTCGTCGATAAAGAAAATTTTTGTTCGCTGAATTCTCTTTTATATTTTCTTCATGACTCAATAAATATTTTTGGTGTGTAACTTATTGAAAATGATATCATCATCAAAGATCAAATCATCTTACCTGTACAATGGTATGTATTCGTTCCATAATATCAGGTACAATCGCTTTGATTGATTCAGTCATACGATTAGCTAATCGACTAACAGCTCTCTCTTCGGACTGATGTACACAAAAGTGTTCTTTTAAGAATTCAGAAGCATTACTCTGTCCACTAACAGTACTCTGTATCCCTGTATTCGATACCAAGGAGAATAAGGTTAAAAATAAATTGGCGTGTCTAGAGAAGATAAAAACAGAGAAAACAAACAGAGAGAGAAATATTATATTATAAGCCAGATTCAAAATATGTACATAGACGTCTGTTTAAATTTAGGTGAAATGAACATATATATTGTGCAAAGACCTTTTACTTCGTCTTGAACCTTCATTGAAACCTTTTAATGATCCTAAACAATTTGCATATAAACATGGTAGAAGTACCTTGGATGCTGCGGTAGTCTTATATCATAATGTTGTTTCTCGTTTAGACAAAGGTGCCAAATATGTTCGTGATGCTTTCCTAGACTACACATCTGCTATTGACTGTGTACCTAGGGGCCTTTTATTAAATAAGCTTTCGTTGACGCAAACAGGATCCTGGGCAAAGAGTTGGTTACATTCTTATTTTTCTGATAGAACGCAGTATACTGTATATAATGGCAAATCTTCTTCTACCTCGCTTACAAAAGCCGGTGTTCCTCAAGGTACCGTCCTCTCTCCTTTTCTGTTTTCCTTCTTCCTACACCACCTGCCTCATTTAAACGAAACTAACTTTGTCAAATATCCAGATGATCTGACTGTATCCACTGCCTATCACTTCCGAGTCTGACTGCTCCAAACTTAATATCTTTCTGTTGGACATCAACAAGTAGTCTAAGTCAAATGGTCTTATGTTAAATCCTTCCAGATGTCAGGCAGTTGACTTTACCTTCAAGCAGCGACGTGACTTACATTAACTAGCTAGTTCCCATGATGCCTGTAGCATAGATGGCACGGAAACTGAAACCAAGTCAAGCATCAATTACCTTGAATTAGTTCTTTCCTCTGACCTTTCATGGTCATCCCACATCTTATCAATCTCTAAGAGAATGTTTCGTCTTACCTTCTACATTAAAAAATTAAGACAATCAGATATCAACCAACCTTTAGTTTTTCAATTTTTAAAATCCTGTATTTTACCTATTGTTTTCTATTGCTCCCCATTAATCTTTCCTGGGCTTCTCAAAAAAGTCTATATCATATTACAGAGGGTATTAAATGCTGTGAGTAGGGCTTGTGGTCTGCCATTGTGTGAGCTCGCCAATACTATAGTCGAGAGACACACAAATTCCTGTACAAAATGGGCAAAGGCTATACTGTCGGACCCCCTGCACCCCTTTATCCACAACTATCCCCTTGTATCTCATCAGGTACCACTAAGTAAAAAAAATTCTACAATACCCTATTTAGCCCGTACTTTATGTGAGGAAGACACTGTTAGACGTGAAACATATAAGTTACTAAGTAATTAGCAAAGTGAATTGACCCTTTCATTGTTCATCTTTCTGTATTATATGGTGTCCCGCTTTCTATCGTTTAATTATAACTTTGCTATTTCATTTTAGTTGTTATTACTATTATAACTATAATTTTATACTTTATGCATATTTTTCTCCGTATCGCATACAGTAATTTGCTATGTAGCTGCTATAACAACATTTTGTTATTACTATTATTACGTAATGTTTCTTTTTTTAGATTTTTTGTCATTTTTGAGTAAATTAAATGCAATATTGCACTGAATGCTGTAAATTCCTTGCTGCATCATTAGTACTGTTTTTGGAATAAAGCAAATTATTATTTGAAAAAAACGAATGTCGAGTTCATTAATTTAACTGTTAACATTTGGGAGAAAAAATTATATAAAAACACAGACTTGGTACATTAAGGACACACCAGGAGATGAGGGGCACACAAAATCTCATAGTTTGTATGAGGCCTATGATACAGCTCACACCGAAGCAGGTGTATTGCCTAAAGGGACACTACCACCTCAGCCCTCCTGAGGCTTTGACATAAATTCTGATTCATAAGGCAGTAAGTAGAGCAGCGTTGCTATAGTTGATGGTGGCAAAAAAACAGGTTCATACATCATTCTTTGATATAAGAATAAAACTTGTGCACTGTGGTAGAGCATAATTCCATTATGGCTAAATTTTGTTTTGATAAAGTCTCACAGTGTTATACAGTAATGTTTACTGATGACGTTTCGAGCACAATTTATTGCTCATAATCATATCAAGGTAATCACACGACTTCCTAAATTCATTTATGTAGCTCGATTGTTTTTCACTTGATTTGATTGGTAATAGTATTTTCCATATTTCAGGTATGAGTGACGAGTCATTCCTATTGCATGTGTTGGGTGTAGACTCGATGAACAAGGATTCAGTAATCAACCTCTCTCTCCACCTACCTAGATTACTTTTTAGAATTTTAACCCTCTCCCACCCTATTGTGTGGTTGTGTGTTAGCGCATGCATTGCAATTGCTGAGCTTTTTTCTAAATTATTTATCTTCTCGGGGTCAACCATTCTTACCTTAGCTAAATTCTTATGCTCTGACAATCTGACTACCCCTGACCTACTAGTTTGACCTATGTAGTTGACCTCACAGTCATTGCATGGTATTTTGTAAATA